TACCGAAAGACTTAGATAAGCCATAATTGTTGAATGTATTCAAGTGAAATATAAAATCAAAACGAGTACAGTGTGCAAAAGAATTGTTACTGGTAGCTTACTTTAATAACTTGAAGTATTTATCTGTTACTTATCTGTATGAGTAGTAATTTTTGCAGATAATGCTTCGAGTAGTTCCCTTTGAACAGCGTACCTTAGGTATTGGTGTCCATTGGACATTTCTTCGACTTCTCGGTTTGTTTTTCTTACCTTTAGTTTAACTTTTTCATTCGAATCATAACAAACTAACTAGTATAACTTTATTTTCTCAATAAAATTTCAAGCAAATTTATATGATTCCTATTTAACGGCTTAATTAATGCAATAAGGCTTAATTAGTTCACGTAGAATTGATTTAATTCCGTGGTATTTTTTTCAGGATTTATTCCCGGAGGAGTATTATTCGGCATGATGATAGATACAGCTTGCTTGAAGTGGAAAGAAGAATGCGGAAAGCGACAGTCCTGTTTGGTCTATGATCCCTATCGATTATCTTGGACTATCATGGCTGTTGGTATGTTCCTTTTCTCTTCAGAAAATTTTCAATCAAAGAAATGAGTGAAAAGATGTAATTTTAAAGCGGATAATTTTATATCTCAAAGAGAAGTAATGTGCTATTTCACTTCCTCTTTAGTCTTCACGTGAGTAATTGAATTAACGTAAAACAAAGAAGTATTTTCAGCAATAGTATGTAAATTGGTTACTATCTTGGGTACCATCCTTGGTTACATAACTTACCGTCCTAACGATTTGGATAATAATATATCGGTACAAACAACCGATAGTCGTGGACCCTTATCACTTACTGTTAATGATGATCGACCACCAGATGAAATCAGATCGTTTGATGGTGCAGATTGAAAGCCAAAAAAAATGCCTTTTATTCACTTCATGGCACTCTGTTTAGAAGTGGTTGATATAGGCCTAGGCTTATTAAGCAATATAGCAGATCAGAGGAATTACATATGGTATAATACGGTGATAACGTAGAAAAGTTGGAAAATGCCTTCGAATTGCAGGCCTGCCTTCGTGAATTTCTTCTTTTTGGTCTGCCTTTGTGAATTTCTTCTTTTTAAATTTGTCCATCACTGGTCAAAACTTCCGTTACTTAAAAGTTATATGAGTAAAGTAATCAAATTAATAGTTGCTATCAATTTAAGAATAACTCTAGCCAATTATTATCATGAAAGGCACGCCTCTATGATCACAATTATAAAGTTTCTCAATAGTTCACTACCTGATATAAATTCTTATCATTTAACTTTTCTTCGTTTTGTCGTTAATGTAAGTAATTTATTATATACGTTTTAAACTTAATAGTACTTATCACTCTTAACATTTCGTTTAGATTTTCAAATTATGCAAATTAATGAGGAAACAAGCAAGAAAAGTCCACTACTTATCTTTTTGTTAATCAAACAACATTCTTAGAGTGAAAATGATTCGAGCAATTGTTAATATCATTTTAGAAAGTTAAAAGAAATCATTAGTGGGATTAATATAATAGTTGATAATGAATGCTGATAATGTTTTTATACAATATGTCCATTGCGCCTTATCAGATTTTCATGTTATGCTCCTCTATTCAGAAGAATCCATATGAGATACTGATTCAATTTTCAAGCTCAGTAAAATGTTGAATTGAGCAGCACTTTAAATAAAAAGTGCTTCTCATTATCTTCGTTTTTATTCTTTCTCAAAAACAATGCCGTAATACTGACATTCTAACTAATCAGCGTATCTCATAGAGAAAACTGAAAATTTTATGCTTAATCAATTAGTTATTATGATAATATCATAATTATATATTATACGGCTTTATTATTTGCAAAGTGTTGCTCATATGGTTTTGTTGTTAGTATAATTCATTCCTTGAATATAATAAATATTTCAAGCATAGTTAAGCAATGAAAGCTGAAGAAAGAAATCATCAATCAATGTCATAAAGAAATTGCCATCATTCTTTTTGAAATGAACGGTACAACGTTATCAAAATAATAATTTAAAAAATTTCCATTATTTGACTATATCGAAATAATTCTAAACGAATTTTTCAACATTCTTCTTATCTTTAATTCAATCTTGACAGATTAACTTTAAAATGAGCAAACTTTTTACCGGAAAAAAATGTCGGAACATTTGTTGTAATTTTCACATTAATTTAATAGCTGGTATTACTGGCTGGAAATTGCCAGAAATCTAAGTGTAAGAAATTGTATGAGATATGATAAGAAGTTATCAGACTCATCAATTGGCTGTAATGTATTTTGATTCTTTTAATTTGAAATTATAAGTATAATGCAGCATTTTGTTATTAAAAAATTAATAAGTTATGTTGAAATTTGTTTAAGAAATTATTCACTAAAGTATCGTGTTTGAGGAACTGGTGTTGTGATGTTTAAAATTTTGTCAATTAAAAGAATTGTGAAAATACTAATGACAGCTTAATTGATGTTTTCAATTTCATAAGATTTCAATTTCTTAAAAAATTTCCTAAGGATTTTTCATTGAAATTTTGTTTTCTGCAAGAATTTAACTTAAGTGATTTATTTTGATCAAATGTGCTGAAAATAAACTCATTATTATAACCATAAATAATTTATAGTAATACCGGAAAAAATAATCGACCAACAGGTTCAAAGAGAAATTGCAAACATTATTTACGCATTCAGCAGTATTACTACTATGACTTCATTGACATTCTAGTGTGACTGATATGACAAATAATAAATTTAATAGTACTGCTGAAACGCTTTTAGAATCATAAAGATTATTTTTATGATTCTTTAGAATCATAATCATCTTTATGGTTCTTTAGAATCATAATCATAAAGAATCTAAAGGAAGTATCGGAAATGTTGGATAAATATAAACATCTAAAATATCAATGGGAAATTCTAAAACAAAATAATATATAATTTGTTGGCTTAATATCTTTTTGCGTTATCAATAAGAAATAACACATAGTATGAATAATTTAAATTTTGTTAAGAAAAAAAGCTGAAGAAACATAGGTAAGATATAAAAGGCTCGAGAAATCTTAAGCTTCTAAAAGAAAGGCTGATGAGAAGTTTGTGAAGTTATTAACTTTTTAAGAATTAAATTTCCAATTTAATAAATTTATAAACAAAAGAAATGCAAATTTCAGTAGAAAAAAAAAGAAATGAATTCTTACCGTCGAAAAAGTGGAGAGCAGAGAAATATTCTGCAGAAGAATTAAGGAAATTTTTGATTGATATAATCGAAACAACGATAAAATGTCTGACTCGAATTTCGATTCCTAAGGAATAGAGGTCACAAACATTTACCATAATTTATCCTCATTGAGATTATCATATATGATCAGTTTCAATTTAGAATTTGCAATTCTAAATAAATGGTTTTAAATAAAAATAAATGGTTCAGAAAAATGAAAGAGAAGATCCATCCGATTCCTCCTATCGTTTAAATCTTTTATTTCAGTTTTTCATTTTTCTAATATGAAAAAAAGGAGAAGAAAGTGATGAATATACAGCAGATATCAAAAAATCCTATTCTTACTTTTCTGCAGGAAAAAACTTTTTAGGTTTCCAAAACAGAATAACATATTTTCATTTTTTAAACTTATATATTATGTGCATAATTATTGTGAGTAAAATTCAATCTGATTAATTTGTCATTTGTAGGATGATAACGATCAGATAATCCTAATTTATGATATTCAGTGGAAGTTTCAAATTGTGTTAGAATTCTTCTTCAAATCTCATTTCCTTTCACAATTTTAAAACAGCAACTTGGAAATATTAACATTTTACCTAAATAAATTTCAGTGAAATATAAATTAATATATAATGAGGGAATAGTTTGAGAATAGGAAAAAATTCAGTGTAATATTTCTTCTCTTACTTATCAATTCTTCATGAAATTGATTTTCTACAAATTTCCTAAATTTTTCTAAGCCATTTTAAATTTCGAAGTTTAGAATTAAATTAAAATTCATACCTGGCTTAAATTTAAAATTAAAATTTGACATTTCTTTAGTTTGCTAATTTATTAAACGACTAAAGGATGGAATTTATATTTGTTAACAATTGTTGAAAAGATATTCGAGTTAATTCCCATTTAACATCAGTCTGAGAATTACTCTGCACTTCAAAGTTTTGTTTCAATATACATGTAACATGCAGAATTATTGTTTTCGTTATCTTCAAGACTGAAACCAAAAGTTTTGGATTTGAAAGATTAAAGTCAAGAAGGTATTTTAATTAATTAAAGACTCCATTAATTACTGTATTGACAGATAGGTTATTACTAAATTTTCTTATTTATTCAATAAAAATAGTTTTTCTGTTAAAGCACTCTGAAAATAATTTAATATACTTCCAAGGAAAGAGTATACAAAAGTGAGATAAGAAATTAAATTATCAGAATTTGAGGGAAGAGAGAATTCAGAAACGATGTTACAATTGATTTCAGAAAATTTTTATTTCACAAATAATTTATATCAAAATTTAAAATACGATAAAGAAGGTAAGTTTAAAGTAAAATTTTACGAAATAGCATATCAATATCATGCAGAAAAAATCGCAATTATCGAATTGATGATATTTGAAATAGATAAGAAAGGAAATAATTTAATAAATTTAGATAGAAATTATACCTGAAATATAACAAATTGATACTAAAATACCTGAGATGAGGAAGAAAAAGGTAAGAGACAGATGAGACATATGAAAATTTCGCATTTGGATAGCAAAAAAGATATTAGTATTAGTTTTTTTAAATCATCTATTACTATTTTATACAACAATTACCACTTTCTTATGGTCCTATCAAATGCTATAATTAGATTCAATTATACTTTTACTATAAGCAAAAATTGAAATTTTAAGCTTTAATGCCTAATAGACTTCCCAAATTAGATTTTAAAGTAATACATAATATTGGTAGGAATGATAATTTACTTCTTATTTAATTAATATTCATGAAAAGAAAGAAAAAAGGAAAAAAATGATGAAACAAATTGTAAACGTGAAATTCATGCGATTTCCATTGTTACAATAATCACCGGTACAGCAGCATACTTCTACGGTACCTCTGCTATCACTTTTATGTATACAGCCTTCAGTCTGTAATATGAAATGATTAATGTCAATTGCAAGATACCAATTTGATACTTACAACAAATGAGCATTCATTAAAATTAACATTCCATGAGCTTTGATAGCTATCAAAATAACCTTGCAAAATTTATGTTTTGATGAGCCTGGCATTTCTTGATCACAACCATGAGCAAATCCTTTTACATGTTCTATAATATGATAGCAATTCAATAGTTCATTAGCGCTTGGATAATTTTTTTAATTAAAAAATTGATAAAACAAAAATAGCCAATCGTTTGATGATATAGTGATAAAATGATGGTCGATATGATGATAACGATTAAAAGCAAAATATTCTGATTCTTTATTAAAATGGTGTAATAAAAATTTGAAATTGAACCTCCATTTGCAGTTGTATCAGATTCTAATTTCAAACAGAATTCAGTTTCCGATTGACAGGTAACTACACTGTCTTTTATAGCACCACTCTTCTCATTCACAATACCAAAGCCATTAAATATACATTGCAATGAGTTAACTGTAACGATAGTTAATGCGACAAGAAAAATCCTGTGAAGCATACAGTAGAATAAATCTTCTAGCAATAGTAATTTCAAAAAAATATATCCTGTAAGAATTGATCAATAAAAAACTTCAGATGAACAAATGAGAATTAGAAGAAGTACGAAACGTCTCATCACATAAGCTCTTTTTGACAATTCCGCATTCAGGCATAATGAATTTTGACAATTCCGCATTCAGGCATATTGAATGAATATTCAAATTTATGAAACTAAAGATCAGCAAAAGAAAAGTGAACAAAATCAGCTAATACGCAATTAGTGATTTGCATAGATGAAAAAATTTTACATTACACAATGCTATATGTAACATGCGGAATTTATTTTAGAGAAAAAAATAGGAAACTATAAAGATATGTCAATTTTTTTTAAAACGAAAGGTAAATGGTAGTTGCATAAAGAAGAGTGGCTGCTCGAGCTGATAAGCAATGATAATGACAATCTGGTTTTTCCTTTAGTAAATAAAATTGTCATTTAAAACCAGATTGAAATGTTTCATTATTTATAGCGAGAAACATGCATGACTACATTTACGTTAACTATCTTATATAATTAAATAAAATTTAAATTTTGAATTCAAACACGAAATGAAAATGATAACATTTGCATTCATAAGCAATTAAGAACTTTTAATGGAAGCCGATAAATGTGTAAAGAGAAAATCTTTTTGCTTTCTACTTCACTTAGTTGTTAAACACTTTAAATCGTTTGAAATAATTTATGATGAAATTAAAATTATATTCGAACAAAAAAAAAATCCTTATAATCTCCGGGAATTCTTAGATTTCCTGAAATTTAAAAATAACAGAATTTTTGCAAAATAAATTTTTAAAAATATTTTTGCAAAAACTACATGAATAATTTTAAGTAATTTAATTTAAAAATAATAAACATATTTTGTAATATTAGCTGGCAACAAGTTTGATTAAATAATTGAGATGTTATGATTGAAATTTATTATGATTATCATCAGCTTAGGCATATATCTTTGCTATTTTCGACTACTTTTATTCTTAAAATATAATTCTTCAAAAATATTAACTAATTTCTCTGCAATCTTCCCAGAGAAAGTTTAATCATTAACGAACTTAACTGTAGAATGAAATTAACGATAAAATAATAAGAAGGATTAAAATAGGAGGACGATCGTATAAATTGATGAAAAGAAAATGCTTATTCTGCAAAATCATACATTCAAATATACTACAAAATATTTTAGAAGAAATCTTTTAACTCAAAGACTTAACTAAATTTTAATTTTAAACATAAATACTAAAATTTATTTATTTGTTTAATATTTATATTAAACAAATTTCACTAAATCATTTAATATTTTTATACATTCAGATCTCTTCAAAATATAAGAAAAATAGGAATAATTCTAAAATAATAATTAAAATTAAATAAAAAAAATTGTTGGCAAATTTTAAAAGAAATATAATTAAATAAATTACAAAAGTTTTTCGAATAATAATGAAGTTTCACAAAGAAAAGAAATAAAACAAAAAGATCAAAGATGAACTTTTAAATAAAGAAATAATTTATAATTAAAATGTATGATAGAATTTTCGAAAGAATTTTAATACAACAAAGAAAATAAAGAAAAATTTGGAGGATGAAATTTTCTAAATGCAAAAATGAAGATTGAAAGAAATATTAGCTAAATGAGAGAGAGAATACTCAAAGATTTTCTTTGTTAGAAATTGCGGCTGGCAGAAATAATTGGCAGAAAGTTAAATTTAGTCAAATAAAAAAATAAAATAAAATATCTTAAACAAAAATTCATTCAAAATAAATATCAGAGATGTACGGAAAAAGCTTCCACAAATATTCCATACGTAACTTTCAAACATAAAGTACAATGAAAATGAATCATATCAATTTAACAAATGTCATATCAAATTTTCTCTTAAGTAGTGTCATTTTAAATAATACTGCCTCTCTCTCTCTCTTTTTTTAATATTAGAGCCCAATTCGTTCATAAGCTGTCTGCAACTTAATTCGATATCATTGCGCATAGATGTATATATCAAAGTGTTATGATTCAATTAATTAAATCTTAAGAAATATTCCTTCCAGTTAAATTTTTTGACTGTAATCAATGAATGGTAGTATGGAAGTAGTAAACAGATTGGTTGATGAAAAATTCGGAAAAGTTTGTCAATTAATAAAAAGTACAACTTATGTTTTTACCATTCCTATTATTTTCAACAAAACAATTTAAAATCATTCAATCATTTCTTCCATTTATACTTTTCAAATATTTTTCATAGCAAAATCTTTTCAATTATTTACTTAGAAATATTGAAATAATAAAGGTAAATTTGTATTTAAAATTTAATATAATAATTTGAGACAATTTTGTCATTTGGCATTTTCCTTCAAATTCACAAATTTAAATTATTAAGTATTCTCTAAAATTACCTTTCATTCTAAAAACACTAATTTCATTGTTTCAGTTTCTTTTGAAATATGCTATTATTATGATATAAAGATAATTTTAATAGTTTACCAATTGATTAATTACAACAATCAACTGATACTTTGATTGCAACAAACTTTTAATCATAAAGAAAATAAATACTTTTATTAGAGAAAACTTAATCAGATATCGACTGAAAATTCTGTTAGTAATTCATGGTGTGGTTAAAGTTTTAAGGTAAAACTTCATTATGCCATATTATCATCGAGTGATAAAATTGCGATAAAAATATGCGATTATTTTCCACGTGTACAAAAATTAAAATTTATTCATCAAAGATTTTCAAAATTGAAGAATACAGAGATGTAACAAGTTTTCATATCAGAATGAAGCGAATATTGATAAAATCAATTATCTCTAATTTATATTACACTTTCCTTTTAAATTACGATTTCATGCAAATTCAAAATTACTTAAAAACTGAAATTACACTTTCATATGTTACTTTAAATTGTCCTTTGTGCTATTTAAATCACATATTTAAATTATGAAAGTAAAAATATCAGAGCATTGCTAACTTATAAAAAAGTCAATTATTCTTGCATTCAGTTATATGAAATGATCATATGGACGGTGCCCTCTAAAGAAATAGTTATCACTCTCTAAAGAGATACTTATCACCCTCTAAAAAGATAGTATTGAATAGAAAATTGACAGAATGTTAACCAGTTTTGAATATCAATTTGACGGAAAAATTCAATCATGGAATTCTTAATCCCATAATCTGATGCCATCTACCTATATAAATGGGATCGATGGGAAATATAGTAGGTGAGAATTTAAATGGAATTCATTTACAACGGATATAATAGCAAACCTTTAATTAATGATGCCTAGATGTAATATTTATCGATCAGTGAAAAGATTCTCCAAAATGGTGCTGATTTTATGGAAGTAACTTGATGGATTTCTCTCTTCTCCCTTTTCTCTTTCCGTAGACTCGTAAACATACAACTGTTGATTTTACATATGAAGGAAATCTCAAAAGTCACTTCAACTTGTAAAGGTAATTTTATTTCTATCGATAGCAGTTAAAGTGAAAACGAATAAGTAATATGAGAAAAAGGAAGAGAGAGAGAGGGAGAAAGAGGTCAGATGGGTCAAACGAGAAACTAATCATTCTGTATGTCCAGATGTATTTGGTGATAAAGCTCATCGATATATAATATAAGCAATGAAAAAAAAAAATGATTTTGTAACATTTTTTTTAATCTTCTCCTACATTGTGGAATGCTGGAATGAAATGGTAGTGCAAACTTCCGAGGGTCATAGTTCACTTATTTTATATGATTGGTGTGAGAAACGGCTACTTCGACATCTTTTGTCCTTGAATGAAGCTGAATTCAACTAAAATGTATTGAAATTAGCGCGGACGGGATAAATGAAAATTCGGCTAAATTAGATATTTGAAATAATGTGCAAAAAAAATAACTGTACCCATCATTAAATAGAATGTAAATGAAAAAATTAAACAGTGATCAAATTTTCGAATATTATCACATCAATTTCAATGAAGCATATCATAAGGAGTGAAATGATAACTTCTGAAGTTGAAAAAGTATTTTAGGTCGGTGGGCCGATCATATAATATTTCAAAACGTTTAATTGATAAAGGAAGAAATTAGTGTTATTAAAAGAAAAGCAAATATCGTTTTATTTCTTGTTTCTATTTTCTATGATTAAATAATATTTCTGATCTAATATTAACGTTTGTCTCAGACTTCAATTGAAAAAATAATTTATATAAAATTGAAATTAATAAATTTTTACGCCTAATTTACGTATGCTATATTAATAACAAATGTATTCAAAAATTTTGCAAAAACAATAAATAAATATGCGATTTATTTCATCAATTAAAAATTAGTGCATGAAACTGATGAAAATGGTTGTCTTAACAAAATGATAAATGAAACATTTGATAGGGATAGATTGATAAAATGAAATAAATTAGTGATAATATGATTGAATAAGTTTGTATATCAATTAAGCAAATATCACAGATTAAATAAAATATCACGTTGGATTTAAAATGATTAAATTAAAGAATTTCGATTACAAATTTGAAAAATTACTGCGAGATTTTGTTGCAGCACGAAAGAGTGGAATTCGAATTTTATCCAGAAAATTGTAGAATTTCGAAAAATTTTATTCAACAAAATGCTTGCTATAGTGCAAAAAATACACAATGCTTGCTATCGTGCAAGATATTTTAAGCAAAATGAAATATTAGCATAGCTGCTCGATTTAATTAAATTTTGGATTGACAGAATGGAATAAATTAGTGATAATATGATTGAATAAGTTTGTAATAATAAGAAAGTGACAGAATTAGAATAGATGGTGGCAATGTATATGAAGGCAGTACACTTCGATCAATGAGACATGAAATTTAAAAAATTGAATATGTTAAGATCAGCGATCGTTCGATCAATTTAGTCTGAAGTACTGTCACTAATTATATTAATTAATTTTCAACAACAATTTTACTTTTCTTAATATGTGATATGCATAATTTCTGTAATTTTATACTTCTTTTGTGATTTATAAAATTCATACCAAAATCTCAAAAAAGAAACGTTTCCCAATTTAAAACTAAATTTATTTTCCTATTATAATTGTTTATAGAAAACGATGTTAGACAATTGCACTTTAAATGTTTTATGATCTTTCTATACCAAATCTAATTTTATTTATATATTCTCAGATATAGGCAGACGATCGTAAAGACCAAAATGGAGAATTTGATATTAATATGTAATGAGAGAAATATAATAAAGTATATGTGATAGGTGGCGTATATGAACTATTTCAACATCAGAGATTAGCAAAAATGAGAAAATAGACATTCTCAGGTAGGAAAGAAATCATTCTTTGTCCTTGGTGAATTTTCACATAATGTAATTGAGGACTAGCAGTATTGCTGTGCTAACAACAATTAATGAGGTGCTTTTGAGCGGTATTCCTGCTCCAGCTGGATGATACGGTGGATACAAAGTGTGCGAATCACGAGGAGATGCTGTTGTAGTTGCATCGGGTGTACAGCAACAGATACCATTCCCATCCGGACACGGCTGCAAATTCAATAATATTAAGAAAGTTTGTCAATATCAATTTTTGATGGTATGATCTATAACACTGATGAATAATTCTACCTGCAAAGGTAAGAAATAAAAAAATGAGAAGAAAATGAAAAGAAAATGATAAAAGTAAAATTTGATGAATGATAAATTAAAAAGAGTGCAGAACTTACCACACAACATTGTGTGCTAACTTTTGGCTGTAGTATGTTAATGAACGGCTGAAAATGGTATAATGCATATGGTTGTTGTGGTATAATATTAACTGGTGCCGGAAGCTGTACTTGAGGTACACGAATTTGTACCGATGGAATTATCAAACGAGCATCTGAACCACTAATATACGTATTGATCAATCCTTCTCCATCAGTTTTGATAAATCCTCCAGCAGCACTGCTTACCATTGTTGCAGATACTCCCTCACAATCTTAAAACGAATATTTTACTCTTACTTTTAATTCGATTAAATAAATAGATATTATTAGTATTTAAGTTTATCAAATTGAAAATTAGCAATTGGAATTGAAATGATACACGAAGATTATTTTTTGGTTTCAGATAAATCGAAGATTATGAATAAATCATTTCTCCCGCTAGATTTTCTTCAATTTTTTTTAATAACGGAAAGCGTTTCAATTTTTATGTACCTATTAGAGAATGTGTTATCACATTGAGTGTGTTGATTTGACCAATTCCTAAATTGGTGACAGTTTTACCTGTGCTTTCATCTCTATCCTCGATAGTACATTTACAGCAGAATTTCGAATCTTTTTTATTAGAAACTGCAATTGGTAAAGCGGCGGTTGTCAAAATATAAGTGGATATCAGTACAGAACACAACATACGTAACATTATTACCCTGAAATACCACAAAATCTATTTATCATTACAAAATGATTAGATAAGATTAGAATAAGGATCATAGCTTACTTCACAAAAAAAGATATTCATCCTATTTTAACTTCTATTTACTACAGGTAATGGAAAAAGGTTAACTCATTTTATGCTCAAGTTTGTCAATTTTATTTCTTTTTTCCTCCGCTTAGTATTTGCTAAATAACTTTATGATGCAACTTTAATAACCAATGATCAATCAATGATCATCAAAATTTTCTGATCCAAGAGTTCATATAAGTCTACTACGTTAATTCTACATAATATATCTACTAATTTTGTTTGGTAACCTACTAAAAGCATGAAATTTAAATGAAATTTTGTTAAAGCTAAATAGCATTTTCTATGAAATTAAATTTCAGAATTTAGATGGCAAAGGAAATGAGAGAATATTTAAGCTTAAAATACTTCTACAAAATTGTGAAGAGCAATAAGTAAATCAAGAAATATTATAGATGTGATCGGTTGGAAGCAATGCTTCGCCTCGTCTTCCATAACAAAGTTATGAATGGAAAAAGTTCTTTTACTAAATGTGCACCACAAAATCAAGACGTGCTCTTTAATATTAATTGAAATATTTTGTAGGAAAAAGAATTCAATACCAAAGAAAAAACTTTTTGCTAAACTGACTCATTCATCATTCTAAGTGAGAAGAAAAATATTCATCAGAAGTGAGAAATATGCGATGGAGAATTTATTCGTAATGGGCGCAGACATAATACATTGTTGCGATACGCATATTTAATATTTGATGATCGTCTTCTTATGAAGCAATCATTTCTAAATGAAATAATTTTTGAAATTGATTTCATCATTGTTTCAATCTCACATATATTACCATTGTTTGTATATTTCATTCTAATGATCAAATAAATTTTTATAAAAATTTAAAAACAAAAGGAAAGATGAAATGATTTAATTTGTTTCTCTTACTTATAGCTATTTTTCATTTATCAGAGTTAAAATTAAGTTATGCAGTGATTTAAGATAAGGTAAAGTGACTTTTTACAAATAAATGAATTTAATTGATATAATCATAATCTTCTTCAGAAATGTTTGATATCATAGTTTAATAGGTAAACAGCGTTTATGAATACTATGGAAGGAATCGTAATCTCTAGTCTTCTCAAAATCTCTTACCGATATACAAATTAAATATTCATCAAGTATCGCCCATAGATGAGATATCAAACATTCTTCATGTATTTCAGGTAAAACCATTTTAGAAGTTAATAAATTAAAGTTTTGACTCATTTATTGATTGGATTAAACTGAATTTGTGCAACAAATGATCATTGTTATAAAACGTTGTACTTCAGAAAAACTTGTATACTACTTGCTATTGCTATTTTTACCTTCTAAAAGGAAAAATAAAGCTAAGAAATGCTTAAATTGATTGTGTTACCTTTTCACAACTATTAAAATGTTAATGTCACAGTTTTTTAAATGCTAATTTATAACTTTATTTTTATTAATCAAAGTTTATCATAACAATAAATCATTTTATCACTTTGATATTAACTGTCAAAGTTATATTTCAATTCAATAAAATCTTCTAATTCATATTAATTTCATCTCATCTCTTTTTTTGGCTAAAAATGCAAAATAAAAACTCTTTTGAATAAAATGAATTTTGTTGAATGAAAAGATAATTAGGAATTAAATATGCATGCATGCATGCATTCTTTCTTTTCAAAATAACTTTTGCATCTTATCTTTACGGATATATACTTTAAATAAAGGACATTAATTAATTAAATTAATTTAACACTTTTTATAGCCACTCTTTTCACATTTTTTCTTGGTATCAGTTAGATCAGAAATACAGTGTTGTTTTCAAAAATTATTTGTCATACTATTTTATGATCATTTCATTATATCTCCGAACACTGAGTGTCCCGAATATGATAACCTTTGGATCACTTCATTCCTATCATACAAGAATTCAAGTAATAATATTAATGCAATAATTTTATTGCTGTAAATTTTATAATAACATTTAAATGATCAGTTTAGCCATTGTTTTATAAATATTTTAATTTGAACTGTTTGCCAGTTTTTCTTACACATTCTTTTATGAAATATAGAAACTTCTGGAATATTCAATGAATCACTGATATTTCTAGTGAATTAAGTTGTGGAAAACCTTCAGAAAACGTTTCAATTGCTCATTTTTTTATAACAAATAAGTCATAAAGGGTAAAAGTTGAGCAATGTGATTCAATGATAATTTCTATGAAATTCCTTTCTTTTCCTTAATTAATACTATAGCCAATATAATTGATTTTGTTTTATCAAATTCTTAAAAAAATAAATAAGCATCTCTGATAGGCGATAATGAAATTTCCACCCTTTTTCGTTTTATACTGAGCTGGGCGTCCCAACAGAAATTTAGACGAGTTTGCTTATTATCTTTGATCCGTGAATTTTCACTCCGTCTATTTTTCAAGTTTGAGGATCACAGTCAGAGTGAATTTTACCGATGGAGGGGGGTGAGCTGTTAATGTTGTTTTCATCATTGACTTTGGTTTGTCGGTTGGTCTTTCTTGATCAGCTGCTTAAGTTTGTTCATCCTTTACCATATATGATTTAAAAGTATTCGAGCTATTTACACATTATCTGGACTAAGGTCTTTACAGCAAATGGTAATTTAAGAATGCCTGCACCCGTCGTGCGGATTATAAATGCGGATCCGGAACGCGTTTACAAAGCTTCGCTGTCGCTTTCCGGATGTGGATTCCTCTGCATATATCATGCTGGTGTGTGCGCAGCTGTTAAAGAATATGCTCCGCAGTTGTTGCAAAATCGAATTTCCGGTGCTTCTGCGGGCTCCATAATTGCTGCTAGTATTGTCTGTAATGTCTGTATTTCCCAAACTACGAGCTTCTTCCTCAGCGTCGTCTCTGAGGTAAGCACATTCAGAAATAACTTTTTGTTTCCTATTGTAATGGCCGAGATATTCAACAGAAGAAACACTACTTTTTCGAAGTAAGGTATATTAAGCGAAATAATTAACGCTGTCATCCTTGACGTGCTGCATGTTAGTTGTTATGTTTCATCATTTTGAGGCAAGGTCATATACATTTGGTGTTCTAAATCGAGATTTCGACTTGATGAAATTGCTGCGGATGAAACTGAATGCAATCTTACCAAGTAATGCTCATGAGCTTTGCACTAATCGACTGAGGATTTCCGTAACTCGATTCCGTGACATGGAAAATGTGATATTGGATAAGTTTCACACCAAGGATGAACTCATTGAAGTATTTCTTTCATATTTCATTTTGTTTTATGGGGGCATTTAATATTATAGATAGCGGACTAAGCAGATGGGTATTTGATGTGCTTGCCTTACCATGAAATGTACACGTGATCATATTTGGTGTTTGGATGCTTTGGACAGATTAATTTGGATTATGAATAAGCAATTCTTCTGTAGTCTTTAGTTAATAAGTGGAGATGAGTTTATTATGGTAATTAAGAACATCAGGCTTTGAAAATATGAACAAAAGAAATGGAAATTTAAATGAAGACAAGTTTTTATACATTTTTATACATGAGGCAAGTTTTTTTTAATACGTAGAGTTTAGTTAATAAGTGGAGAGTGCCCCTTGTGATATTGATAAGTATATTTGATTTGATTAGTTTGCTTATTTCTATGCACTATACCTTTTGAGTCAGAATCCTTATCACTAAATTACAATTTTCTATCGAAACGAAATTACGAGACGTTTGAAAATCTAATACTTTAGATGTTGTTTATTGCAGGCAATTTGTTGTAGCTGTTTCATTCCTGTATACGGTGGCTTTGTTTATCCAACGTTTCGGGATGAAATTTACATTGACGGTGGCGCTAGTAATAATCAACCGATTATCGATACCGATACTATAACAGTCTCTCCATTTTCGGGTGAATCTGACATTTGTCCAACAGATGAAGAAAGCGCTAGGTTAAAACCTTTGCAATAAATTTTTTGACTAACACCTGTTAAGCTAACTGACTTTAATTATTCCTGATCACACTGCATCCGCTAGGTATTTAGATTGAACATAAGAGCCATAACCTGGAAAGAGCTATGGTATACTGAAGGATGGATTGGTAATGCAAAATGCCAAATTTTGATAACGTAGTGGTTTTTTTCCAATTATATCATTTCGAAATCATGAATTTTGTATTAAATTGTAGCTTATTTGAATGGAATTTTTCTGGTACTTCTATTCGATTGACAGCGAATAATTTGTATCGCACTGCTTTATGTCTTTTTCCTCCGTCTGTTGAGGAATGTGCATCCCTGTGCCGAAGTGGTTTCAATGACGCCTTGAAATTTCTTATTGATAATGGTAAGTGGAAGAAAGTAATGATATTTCATAACGCTGTAACTGAAATTATGTTAAGCTTAGATTTGTTTGTTTGGTTCATGTGTGGCGCTTCGGATTTAGATTTATCAGTATCTTGGTAAATGTTTATGTTTTTTATTCAGCTAATAAAATGGAAAAATGAAGTGTTGAGAATTAGCAGTTATATGTTTTCATTGTTTTCAATTTTTCACATGTCATGTCTATAGATTTATTTTTTTGATTTGCTTTCTCTCAGATTTCTGGAAAACTTTTGGCACACAGCAGTTTGTTCTTATTTTCAGGGTTCACATCAAATGCAGTTTGCCTAGAAGCAGATTTATCAACTAATTTGAATCAGATAAATGAAGCACTTGATGTGGCAATATCGTCGACCTCTACGAACCGTCAGGAAAGGTTGTGTTAAAGTTGTCAATTAAAAATGTTTTTTAGGTTGTGGACTTCGTAACTCGTTTGAAGTATATCATGTTTGTTATAGATTTTCCATAAAAAAATTCTTGCTTTTTTCGTCTGCACATCATGAAAGTTGTGTTCGATAGTTTAGCCTAAATGGTAGAGGTCACATTGAAAATGGCATTGCATTATTCCTTGCTTTATAACCCATCCTATTTATTGTGTTTTAATAAAACTTTTTTTTAACAATGTTAAACTAGGAAAAAAGTTGGGGTGCTTGCATTTTTTGCTTGTTTCAGTTATGAGGACGGAAGGATTGTGGAATATAATGATGCTATTCGCTCAGAGGGGTCTACTCAGTTACCTCATTCGTTGCAAAGTGGTATCAACTCATATTCGTTTTTTTTTTTTTTGTTGTACAAGCATATATTTTAAGCATATACTTTTCAAATTATGAATCGGAAAATTCAGGAAATCTAAATAACAAATTGCTTGAAAAACCGGTTCATTTGCATAGGAGTTATGAGGAGATTTCAGCATTTGATGAAACAATGAAAAAAAAGTGGTTTCCGGATTACATTAGTTCATTTCGGGTTGTTCAGTTAGCTCGCTGTGTAACATTACCCCTTACTGCAGCTTATCAGTGGTTCAAATTTTGTCAGTGGTTCGTTAATACATTTTTTTTGTTATTTTTGTGTGTTGATTGTTATTTACACGGCAGCGGCATTTCAAAACATAATCTTATAAATTATTTTCACATTCTGTTCTTGTAAATGAATTAGACTTTTCAAGAATTTTGAATAGGAATAGCACCTTTTGCTTTTCAAAGTTTGCAAACTGCTTTAGAATTAAATAATACGATTCAAATCAGAAATTAGAGACATAATCATTGCATATATCATTCGTTTATATTGCAAACAAAAGATATGAACAAGATTTTCAGTTTAAGTACTTGGCTCGCAGCACGAATTACCAGGCATATTGCAGACGACTGGTACAGTATAAGAGTAAAGCATATCATCAGTTTTATTTTGAATGAGATTCATGCGCAGAAAGCAAAAGTTTTTGCAAGGTAAGCCTGTTCTTTTTACAGTAACACAACTTTACATTTGTTATTTGGAAAAACATTCAAGCTTCTTTCACAGTTCTATTATCTAAATGAATTTTGTTTGTTTTAAATTTGGTTTCATAAAAAACGCTGCTGTTAATTCATTTTCTCAAACTTAGCCAGCATCTGGCAATCGAAGTCGAGTTCACTGGAGATGGTCAACAACCTATTGTTTGAGAACAATTTAACATAAATTTGTCGTCTGAAGCCATCGAAGAGAAAGAAGCACTGAGAAGCATAGATACGAAAACAACACTATCATCTGTTAATGTTTGTGGATTGCTGAATTGAAAGACCAAGCAACTGCCTGCCAATGGAAGATTATTAAAATAAATGCTTAAACTAACATAATCAAATGTCTAGTTTTCTGAAATGCGGTGGTCCGAAAACAGTTTTATGACGACCGGTAAACAAACTAGAAGTTCTAGTAATATGAATTAATACAGTGTACTGAGTGTTCATTGCATTGCTTTCACTCGTATTGCTGGAACTTTTAATCTTTTTCAATCTCGTTATTTTGCAGTGTTCATGAAAGAAATCTATGAAATCTCTGATGTTTTGCAGAGCAACTCACAAATGGTTTTTTCAATGGGAAAGAAATCGACTCATTTCAATACTTTTTTGTCTGCAAAATATGTTAAGTAAAATAGATTATAAGGCAATAAAACTTTAAGTCAAATTATTATACGAAACACGGAATGCGATTTCTATCTGTCTTTTACAACAAATCGAAGAGTAATAAAGTAAGCTGATTCCTTATGCTATATTTAGAAGATTATGCGCCTGAAAAGCCTTCTTGTTGCAAATCCCTAGAGTTTAAAATATCAGTTGATGAGGCTATGAAGTGAACGTTCTTATAGCTTTAAATATGCGAAGGTGTCATCCTTTGCAAATAGATTACACGCTTATAATAAACAATTAAAATTACAGTTGTTCAGCACGTTGAACAAGGTGGTAATAATATTAAAAAATATAGCGGTCAAAAGTCTAATTCTACTTCTTTAATGTCGTATATCCAAAGCATTCAGTCTCATCATTTAGAAAAGAGCGATATAGATTCGACGCCTGATAATTTTGACATTTCAGAATAATTTTATAGCAAATTCTAATCAAATAATGTAACATGATGGAATTAATTTATTGCAATGTGGAAATGATAATTAACAACCTTTTTTCTCTTGAAGAATAATTTAAATTATCACCATAATCTCTTACAATTTTTGTCGATCTAACTTCATTCTAAACTAGTCAGTTTTGATTTGACATTTTTTCTTATCCATATTCTCTAAACTAGTGAACTTCGGTTTTTATTTATTTATATATTTACTGTAATGTGTGTTTATTTCTTTGCTCCACTTTCAAAGGATATCGTTGAAATCTTCCTGCAACATATTATTAAATTTTGGAAGCTGCTCATTTTGTAATGTTCGGGAGGCTGCCCATTTCGTTTGCCAAGAGGTTTTTTGCTCCTTAAGAATTTAAATTATCATAATGCTTTTCTTTGGGCAATCAGGTTACTTAAAATCCAGTCAAGGAAGAGTATCGTGTACTCATTTTGTGGTGCATTTAATTTTGGTTGGAATACCACAATTTCATTTGAATAGGCTTTTTTCCCAATTTAATAGGAATTTCCATATGTGATTCTCTCTTACAATATATGGGTTGTCTCCATACAAATTAAATTTCTCATAAATTTTTTCTCTAATGTTATTCTGATTTCTGATTTCCTGTTAACAATTGTATTATGAATACTTTTGCCGCGGATTGTAATTAATTTTGATTTCAATATGTGTTCAGAAATTCTAAACCAAAAGATATAAATAACTGTAAGAAAGAAATTGGCATTAAATTCAGAGGTATTCACTCTGAAGATTGAATTCTCTTTTGCCACTTATTATATGTATTATGTGTGATTTGTTGTATAGATTTTTCAAAATATTGCACGAAATATTTATAGAAGGATAAATTTTTTGATTGGTTTACGCACTGGAGAAGAACGTACAAGGATTTTTTTGGGTTATATTCTTAAGATTACGTTAGTCTTGCTTGATAATAAAAGTTATTATCATTTACACATTGAAGGAAAACTTGTCTTTCTTCATGAAGTGTTTTTTCTACCATAACTGCTTTTAAGATTCACTTTTTACACTCACAGCGAGGTAATCAACATAATTCCCCACTTCTTCCATTATCCACTCATACTGGTATGAAGCCGAGATAATACCTTCTTCATCGGCGGTTCAGTCCAGTTCCGTCCAATTCGGTCGCATAAGCACTGTATGCCACTCATTGAAGCAGGCTATACATTATGTGATGATATAATTTGTACATTCATTTTGGGTTGATTACAGCTGGTGGTGCAGATTAGTATGATCTTGGCTGATACGGTGAGGCTGACGGTAAGTCAGTGACAGAATGAAATCATCAGAGACAGTGGTGAAGTCTTGTGTGAACTAACGTCTTTTTTAATCATTCTTGTCTTTTTAAGTTCCTCCAATTTTTCTCATTAATTTTTGAATTTCGTGCCCAATATGATCAGAGATCACTGTCAGTTTTTACTGCTTCTAATGGCGTGCAAAAACGCTTTGTATTAACAAGCAAGGATTCCCTTCTCTTGCTGAATATAGTTTCGTATACAATGACGTACTGAATTATAAACTTATTCCTCAATCGTCTTTCTTCTTAATTTGCTACTTTTGCTTCATAGTTATAATGGTTCCCACTGATGGTATGGCATGCTGCATTCAGATTAACCAAAAATATTCTGTACGTTAGGGTGTAAGTTGACCATATATCATCCATTAATTTATAGTTATTTCGTTCTTTCTTCATGAGACACTCTAAAAGTAATAAGAGTAAAGTAATTATGTTTTTTATACGCTGGGCAGGCGTTCTTATTTACAAAATATTTTATCGCTATTTTCTAATCGAAAACATTTTGCATGAATTACGCAGTCAGCGGCTTGCATAGATTCTGGAGCAAATTTAAACGTTCGTAATTTCAGTTATGAATATTGTTACTCCTGAAAGTGACAACGGTGTGCAGATGTCACAGTACCAGTGCTCCTTTTACTCTTTACGTCCCAAGCAGGTTGATTTTGATGCTACTTGGAAAAGTGTTGAAAATTCTATCAAAAGGATCATGAAATTGCAACCACTGGAACGACGTGTTTGGGATTACAATTTTTAGTTAGTATTAAACTTTTCAAAACTTTTTTTTGAGAAGAATTCGTGTAGTTTTCATTATATATCCTGGGATAAGTCTTATAAATGGTCCTATCTTTCCGTGAACATGTGCTGTGTAGAACAAATCCATTATCTTTTAGTCGATTATTTCTTTAGTAAAGTGATTCGTTGGAAATAATTTTCCACCTTAGTTCAGCATACATCCTATTATATTGGAATATGAAGTGAATCTTAACACTTCGAGTGTTTATTTGCATGAATGATAGCTGGTATCACAACATTGGAAGGAAGGTAGATAAAATAACAAGAGAAGCAAAAATGAAATAACATTGTTAATAAGTAATTTGATCAAATGCATTTCCATTTCTTAATTTAATAAGTTAGATCCGTATACTTTACCACGCAGTTTGGATATGATGAGGTATTAGGCAATTAAAATGATTGAAATCAAGTACATTGGAACTTGCAGTACTTAATCAATCATTTCAGCGATATCTATTCTTTATGTGTTGCAATTCCCGAGCCATTAAGTGGACGCTTATATGAAAAAACAAAAGAATGTTTGGAGGCACATGTTACCGAGCTGTATCAGGTACTAAAGAAAATGCTTATTTTATTGAAGTAAATTCTAAGCAGAAATGGATTTTGAAGGCAAGCTACAATTTACGAAATCGGATTCAAGAATGATTTTATATGAATATTGAGTTTTTGAAGTTTATGTTATCTACTTGTAAGATTGCTTTTCTGACGTTGTATGAAGGCATTTTTATACAATCTGCTGTGTTCTGATGGATTCAGTTTATTTAGTTCTTTGTATTTCCATTTTTTTATTCTATACTATATGAGTTTTATTTTTTTCTAGGAGATAAGTTCAGCAAATGATTCTGAGCTCCTCATTGTTTACTGCCAACTTTGGAATGTATATTACAAAGGAGCATTATGTGTTCACAATCTTTTTGGGTAAGTAATTTCATACTTCTTGTTGCTGTTCATTATGCATTTTCTTCCGATATAAAGGTATAGATTTGTTCAAATTGAAAAATACAGAAGTAAAAGATATAGAAAATTAAATTTATTAGCATGTTTTTAAAGGTATCTTAACAAGCAGTATATCAAAATTAAACGATGTACTGAAATTGAAGGCGGATACGGAGCTTATAGTCAATACCTCACACAAAAAGATGTCAAGGAGATTGGTTTGGTATATTTTTCTCTTATCTTTTTCAAATTATCTAATGGTTTTGCCGCTTCTGCTAACTGATTTGATCCGTTATGATCCTTGCAAAATCCTTGCAAACATTGTTTCTATTCTTTTTCTTTTTCTGTTTTTTTTTGTTTTAAAAGGCTATTGTGGTGAATGAGTATGATATTCTCATATTCATTTGCTTACAAAAATTTAGTCAGTTTAACTTGTGGAGGTCTCAGCTTTTTTCAATTTGTGAAGAAACATTAATTTCATTAACTGAAGGGTTGGTGGAACCAAAATAGATTTTTCTGATTGAATCTTTGTCCATGGTTTATGCTCTTTTTTAGCCCTTTGCATTTCTTTAATTTTTCGGAGGAAAACTGCTCCATAAAGGATAAATTATGATAAAAATATATTGTGAGGATTGTTTTAAAGCTTGCAATGGAAATTTGGCGCAAAAAATTAATAGATCCGATGGAAAAGCGGCTAGTTGGTCACGTATTAAGTGCAATCGCTGCAGATCGTGAAGGGCGAAACAATGTTCCAGTGGACATTGTCCGAGGTGCCATCATGTCCTTTGTCCAAGTATGCTAATTGAAATACTTCATTCTAACTGTGAGTGGATACCGTTTATTAGTTATCAGATGCAATCTTTTAGAAGAAATATGAAGTGTCCATGTGATATTTTATTCACTTCCTCGTTACTGGGTAGAATGTTTTATTCAGTGAAAATTGGAAGAAATTCTGTTATTTGAGGAAAAATTACTTTTAGGTGTTGACATCAACGAGAAATGAAGAGAAACGGTGTTTAAAGCAAAGGAAGAATCTTCTGACATGATATTTGCATTTTTTAGGTTGATGATGTGGATGGAATGCGTGAAGTGTTAGATAAATTACCATCAAATTTGCCTCAGAATTACGAAACATACCGGGAAATGTTTGAAAAAAAGTTCTTGCAAGCAACAACTGAATATTATACAGTGCTCTCCATTAAACTGCTTAGTGAACTTAGCTGTTCTCAGTATATGGAATCTGTAAGTTATTTTTGTTTTTTTCTCCTGTTCCAATCCGTGATTTCCTGCTCTTATTTTGTAAATTTTGACTTAAATTTATCAAGGAATTGTAACATAAGATGTTTTAGAAATTAAAGCCGATGTATAAAGTCTAACCTGTACACTTCATCGCTATTTAGAAGAGCCGGTGATTTGGTAGAATTGTGAACATATCTCTTGTATATAGCAATATCTTTTGGATTTTCTTGAAGCTTCTAGAAAATTAGAAAGGCATTGTTATAAGCAGGAGATTGTTAGTCAGGAAGACATGACGATGTTGTTCTGTTGTAACCACAAAGTGAAACTTTTTTTGTTAAAGCCTTATATCAGCTTCTGACTGATACGCGGTTTAACAAGTTTCATTCTGTGTTTACAATGAAATAATCAGAACATTTGTAAAATGGATTCTGAATCTAAAATTTATCTCCTTCGATTCATTGCACTGATATCCATTTTAATTTAAGTAACCAATCATCGACAAGTGTATAATTTTAAGGTAATTGCACGAATAGAAGAAGAAAATGAACGCTCAATTCGTTTTCTGCACAAAAGTAGCCACGAGAAAGTAACTAAACTATGTCAAGATGTAATGGTGGATGCTCATAAAGAACGTCTATATGCTGTTTGCCATGAGTATATCGAAGGCGAATGCATGAATGGTATATTTCAAATTTTTTGGCATGAAGCTTGTTTATTGCAAACAAACTGGTACTGGAAACTTTTTGAATCTTTGGATTTCGTTCATACATTCAGTTTTCCTTCAGAGTATTTGTAGACCTTAAAGTCAACCTCGCGAAAAAAATTTTGATTGGAAATATACTTGTCCTAGTGCCTTCTAGTGCTATCAATTTCTCTGTTATTATACTCATCCTTGGAGGTTTATGTTATCCTTACTTGAGAAATAGGATTCATTAACTGTATTTTTTTTGCAGATCTTCACAACATGTATCGCATCCTGAAACCTATAAACGGAGGGTTGTCGGTTGTGATTCTCGAATTTCAAAATTTTGTCAAAAAAACTGGTCTTGAAGTAGTAAAAGGTATGCGTGGTGATAATATTCCCCAGCAGTTTGTAGAAAATGTATTACAGGTAAGTGATTCAATAATTTTTATCAATCAGACTATTTCAAGTTCTTATTATCTATAACACTTTTGTTGAAGCGAAACATTTGAAGTAATTGTGGACTTAAACTCGATATTTAAATTTGATTCTATTAAATATATGGCACCATATACAGCATTACTTCTTTGCTGTTTACATACATCATTACTTCTTTTGCTATTTAAAACACTTCAACATTGGACGGCCTGAGACTTAAACTTGGTACTTCAATTGATTCTATGAAATATATGGCATTATTATATACGTCATGACTTCTTTTACTGTTTAAAACATTTCCAACATTAGACGGCCTGATTTGAAAGAATATACATGAGGTGACGTATGGGAATAAATTCTTGAATTGAATGTGATTTGTAAATGGTAAACATGCATGAATACATCTTATTCATGCATGTTAGCTGACCATATATAATCATGGAACTGAAAACATCGAGCCCGAGATGGCGGTACTTGATGAAAAAAATTCCAAATGATTTATGGTTTCAGTAGCAATCGTTTTTGACTGATTTAATCATCTGAATTTCTCATTTCATTGTGAGCATTTATCATAGCACCGTACTTTTTATATCTAGTCTTGTAATTACGCAACGTCGCCTGATTCACTATGTCCTCCACATGTATCCCTCATTATCGCACTGTAATATCTCCCTTGATCTATCCACTTGTTGCTTTCCCATTCACATTAAATTTTTTCATGTGTTTCCCTCTACATAAAGCAGTAAAGATCAATAGTTTATTTTTTGTATTTATTTTCATACATTTCATGTTGACAAACTCTATCGGAAAATTGATATGGATCTTAAGAAAACATTTTAAGTGGTAGTGTGTTTGGTATAATTTCGAATATGTCACTGATGAAAGGTAAAGAAAAAGTAAAAATCTGAAGTAATTATCATTGGTCATGGACCTTTGAAGCAGTCTTTTTCTCCTTATAAGAGTCATCTTTAGACCTTGTACTTTTTTATGATCTATCCTCTTAGCACTGTATGATCAGCTATCAACTTTATACGTTATTACTAACCCTTTTCGGAAATAGTTTTTTTCAACCAATATGAGAATGGGTATTGGCATTTTCGCAAAAATTACTTGTTAATGATTAATATTTCTCCAAAAGTTTTGCAGTAGTTTGCGGATTTTTGAAGCCACATCCCACAACACAACTTTGCCAAACTGTTTGTTAGACATAACTAACTTTCTTATTTTATTTTCAGTAGGTATCGCTGGACGTAACTTCGGTATATCGTTCTTTTTTTTTCAAATACATCACTTATGCAATATTTTTCCGTAATTTCTATTAGGTTTTTCAAACAAAATGAAGAAAAAAAAATAAGTTCAGTGCAAGTGCGAAAATTATAGGATAAAACCAAGCTTCGACATTCTTATTTGCGCTCTATATTCATCACCTGACTTCATTGGGGAAATTAGCAATATCAAATACTTAGTAGAATAATTTGTTCAAGTTTTTCCTGTTTTTGCTTTCACAGAAGAAAAATGGAAGTATCAAATATATATATATATATATATTGAGTTTTTAATTATTAATTGTCATTCGATTAAATGTTGATTTTCATGACTTGCTAGACTTTTTGGATCGGAGTTTTGGAACTGCAATGCTCGTATATCATCTTGACCTAAGAACTAAATTTTTGAATTAAAAGCGTAAGAGAAAGAGCTAGGTAATATGATCAGGTAAAGCAACTGAAAAAAAATAAAGTGGGAATTAGAGAGGCAGTATGCATTCCATTATTATGGTTTTGTTATTATTTGCTACTATTTATAGGTTTATGATAGGTTCTCATCAATGGTTGCAAAAGTTTATTATGACGATGGCGACTTTGTTGGAGCTCTGGATAAAGTATCTCTTTGAAAATATTGTAGCATAGCCTGATTTAAGTAGAGATTTAAGTTTTGTGTAGGTAATTTTCTTGTCAAAAGTTGAAGAAAAAACGTGGATACTAGAAATTTTGCTAGCAGGAAGTGAGATGACGGCTTTGTTTTTACTCTTTTCGGCTTCCTGTTCTTACTTTACTTTAGAGTGACTTCATTAAATCTTTTTCCGGAAGTCCTTAGTATTTTTTCTAATACCAGTATTACGATTTCAGGCGTTGCAAGCCGTCGTAAATTACCGCGAAGATCCACGTCAGGCACCGAAAGCATCAGAAAGGGTAAAATAAAGCGTTTTTTAGATTTGAACTCAATCGATAATTTATTGTTCAGCAGAATTATTCAGTACGAATGTTTTTTGTGAAATTCAACAGTTAATTTTGCAAATAGTTTGTTTCACTGTTACTGAACCAACTACTTATAATTTTAACTTTAAGCTGTAAATGGCATTGCTCGTTTTGTCGACTAAATTAAATAATAGACAAATCGGGCGTTTCCAATTCCAAATGATTGGAATTGATATGGAAATGCTTTTCATTTTTATCACCAGACTCCATGTTCATTTTTTAAGCTGGCACGTTATACTGACACGCTTTTACGCAAGTCCGGTAAAGGTCTGAGCGACAGTGAGTTGGATACAAAATTATCACAAGCAATTATTATTTTTCGGTACATTGAGGACAAAGACATTTTCCAGAAAGTCAGTATTCTTATGCTTTTATTTTCATAAGTACATCAATGAAGTTAAAAATTTAACATATCTTTTGGAGTCCTTTTACAAGAGATTTGTGTAAGAGTTTTTATACATGTTCTGGCTTTATCTTACACTTTATTTCCGTGTGCTTCATCACAATCATAATAAAATTCTTTTTTCTTTATGGTTAACTTTTCTTTTGACCTTTGCTAGAACCGCTGTCGCATCATGACATTCATAAAGTAAATGTTTCACACCTTTTTGCTAGAACTTTTTGTTTCTTTGATTTTAGTTCTATTCGAAAATGTTAGCCAATCGTCTAATTACTAATGCTTCTCTTTCGAAGGACGCTGAAGAGTCGATGATTAGTAAATTAAAGGTAAATTTTGAAATGTATTTTTTGGGAATTGCAAGCTTGTTGGATTTATCGAAACTTGAAATGATTAATAATAATTGAATTTGCTGTAATCACAGGTGTTTTTAGCAAGCATGTGGGTTTGAATTCACAAGTAAGCTGTCGCGGATGTTTACAGATGTTGGGCTGAGTCACGAGCTTACAGACAAATTTATTAGTGTAAGTCGATTTTATTTTGCACTAGTTGAAAAAGGTCGAATAGATGATAATTGAGTGCGAAAATATTTTCCTAGTAAAGATAAGATCTGATTAATCAGTACTTACAAAAATTCTAAACTTCTGAGTTTCCTGCTATATTTATTTCATTTATGCAATTAAGAAGTGAAAATGGTAATCAGTAATATTCGAAGGATTAAAACGAACCTTTCCAGATTTTTGTTCAATTATTAGTTCATTTTAACACGAAAGCTTCAAATATAATGACATAGTAAATAGCGAACATAAAAAGCTTGTTTGTTTATGGAATTTGCGAAAGAAATGTATTCTTTATTTTAGAGATATTTTTCAAGACGCAAAGATGTTCAACATATCTATTTTACTGTTAAGAAATTGTTAGTTGCATTATCTGTAATTTCTTTTTTTAGCACTGCGCTGTGAGCAATGTAACTTTGAATATCCAGATGACAGTACTGATTTTGCAAGCTGGAGCGTGGCCATTGTCGGCGCCTACTTCAACTTCAGTTTCCGGTCAGTTTAATTTCAAAAATTGTTATATTTTTATGAGTTTTCAGATGTTAAAATGTTCCATGAAGGAAAATATATTTTGTTTCAGTAAGAGCTTAGATGACCCTAAAATTTTAGGGCCTTCTTTAAGCTCTTGTAAGAAAAGCACGTGGATTTTGTATTCATTAATAGGAGTGGGTTCACTTAATAACGTGATTGTATTTTTTTTAAGGAGCAGACGGAAAATATAGTACAACTGCTGTCCAAACCACGGGTTTTATCGTCCCACCAGTTCTTTTGCCATCCATTGAACATTTTGAAAGGTATTATCAGGCGTCGCACAATGGTCGAAAGTTGACATGGCTCTTCAATCTTGCAAGTGGTTAGCTCCTGCAGTTATTTGAAACACCTTAATTTTTTTCAGTTTAGGCCATCCCAACTTTTGAATTAGAGAATATAAGTTGCTGACGAGAAAAACGAATTTTCTGAGTTTCTGAGAAAATCGTGCTTATATTAAGAATTTTATCATATATAAGACAAGAACAACCAGCTGAAATTTTCAACGCTGCAGCAAAAGTTACACGCTTGATAGCAGAAGCGAGGTGTTTTCCTAATTCATTGAAGATCGCTTGCAGTATATATATATATATATATATATATATATATTGACACCATATTGCCTTCTATGCTTTACATTTTGTTTCGATTAGATTTTTTTTCTCGATACACCAGCTTTAAAAAAATCATACGTTCAGGAGTTGTTTTGACCTTGTATTCATATTTTGTTGACTGTCGGAAGATTCTAAAATTTCCAGAATTGTTAATGTACTTAGAGCGAGTCGATAAAAAGTTGCACGAATACCTTGGGTCACAAATTTTGAACATAAACCCTCCATATTATATATACTAGATAAAGAAACTTAGATATTGGCAATTGTTCCATGTTGCATTAAAATAAATTGGAGGTGAGAATTTTAAATTTCCAGTTGAGGTGAAGTTACATTATTTGGACAAAGTGTATCAGGTGACGACGTCTGCCCATCAACTAGCAATTTTGCTCTGTTTTGAAACGAAAGATTCGGTAACTTTAAACTATATTGAGAAGGCAACTGGTTTATCGGATGAATTGCTTAATCGAAATATTCGTGCGCTGGTTGATTCCGGTGTTCTAATTATGGCGAAGAAGGTCACTTTCGCTTTTTTATTTGCAAAAATTTTGACAAATTTTTTGAGATTTGTTATCTGAATTTAACGGTAGAATTCACTACTCTTAATACTTTGGCTGAAACATAGAAGTAAAAGTATCCTTGTTGGAGAATTAATGTAAGCAAGAATTTTAACAGAAAACTTGTAACACTTATGTCTGCTCACGGACGCCTTTAAGTTTATTGTAAAATTTTGAAACGAAATGAAATTGAATTGCTAATGCAACTTTTCAAAAGGTGTTGAAGACGGTAATTTTTTATATGTTTTTACAGGAGGTGAATGAGGTTAATGAGGTAGCACTCAACTTGACACTTACATCGAAGCGTCTCCGGTTCAAAGTTTTAGTGCCTCAACTTCAGCGACATGTAAGGGAAACTGTTTTAACTACGTATTGTACATATTCAGTGTAGTATAGCTTTCATTTAGAAAGAGTTTCACGTGGTACTAATGAGATATTAGCGAAACAAACTACTACCTAAAAAACCTAGTTGCAAAAAATTCAAAGAAAAATTGTATCTGAAAAAACGGTCTCTGAGAGGTCCAAAACTTTTGTTGAATAGGATTATTTTCTCTGCGACGAACAGCACCTGATGATCATTTAGGTTATTTAATCTGTTCTTTACCATTAGCAATTAAATGTTTACCGTTTATATTTTTTTTAAGGTAGAAAAGGAGGCAGAACATGTAAATATTACTGCTCAACAGGACCGAAAATATTATATGGAATGTACCATCGTTCGCATAATGAAGACACGAAAAGTGTTGAAACACGCAGCCTTAGTTAACGAGGTGAATTCATGTATTTATGTCACTTCAGTTCATAGTATTCCTAATAGTTTAAAACAATTAAAAATGACATGCAGGTGCCTAGTACAATGAAGTTAAGAAATGTATGTAAGATGCCATAATCCGTTATTTTTTCGGATAACTATTAAAATTCATAATCTAATAACGGATAGCACTTTTTTTCGTTCTATTTCGCTGCTTATTAAATGTTTTATTAATAGGTAATTGAACAAACCAAATCTCGTTTTACACCAGATGTTAACTTCATCAAGAAGAATATCGAATCGCTCATTGAAAAATTGTATATTCAGAGGACTGATCAGAATGATGAATATCAGTACTTGGCATAGAAATCATTGATGAGCCTCATGTACAAATTATGAATTGATCTTGAGATAAAGAGTTTTGCCAGGTTATCGACATGTTTATCTTCATTTGATTTCATTACTCCACTGTAAGTGGAGAAAGATTGTGGAAGGTTGGCCAACGATACTATCAATATTGAGGGAATTACTAAAAAATTTTTTTATTTTAATTTTACAAAACAGTTTTAAGTCCTTGTTTGAGTCCAGTAAAAAATTTATACGATTGCTTTACATGTAAATGGAGTAATACATTTCTAGTCATATATCAGGATATTGATGACACAATGATGAAAATAATAGGTAACAAATGAAGAAGCCGCTTGCGGAATTGCAATCTTGATAATTTCTATAGTTTTCGTGAACAGCCCTAAAAAATAATGAAGAGAGTAACTTAAGAAGCTTCGCGAGTATGAGTTTTGTGGGTACATAATCCATATAAATTGGACACATTTTAGAAATCTTGACTTCATATCATGTCTTCCAACTTTCCGAAAAATTAGTGCATCTGCTAGCACTTTGGCTAAGAAAATTGTAGGGTAATTTTAACAGTCGAGTAAGCATTATGAAATATAAGCATTAGCATTATGAAATACCCTTTAAAAATTGCTTGGCGGTAGAAGTGCACTTCCTACGATCGGCAAGACCAAAGTGTTAGATTTCGAAGTGAAATATTCATTACATTCAGCCATGAATGCATTTCATCTTTCTTATCCGCTGCCATTAGAACCCTGAAAGATAAATGCGTGAAAAATGTAAGTAGAGTCCAAAAACGCAAATAAATTTTCAAAAACTTTTGCTTAACCGACTGTTAAAATTACCATACAGTTCTTAGCCACATTTGCTCATTAATTAGCAGATTTCTTCCTCAAAAATGTGAAGAGATTTTTCTCGAGATTCATGAGGGCTGTGACTCGGCTTCAAAAATTTGTCCTCCTTACCTCTCTTGGACCAATTTTCCAGTTTGATGAATTTTCATCGGAAAAGTGTTTGCTATGTAGCCAAACACCGGTTTTTGCAACTCTGACGTTCTGGTTGTAGAAAATGAAAATGCGAGTGAAGACTTTTTGAAAATTGTAGGAATTTTATCTGCTTAAAAGTCTTACCTGTGCACAGTATCACAGCGTCCGTTATCACACTTTACAGCCCCCGTTATAATTTTCAATACTGTTCAAATTATATATTTAAATGAGTTATAAAATCTAAACAATAACACAAAGAAGAAATTTCTTGTAAGATAAACCTTATTCTATCTGGTTTTTGCGAACATTTGCCAGGTAGCCAGACATCGATTTGCATTGAGTTCGGATATGGACAACATTCCACAGGAATAGGTTTGATTTCGTTGCATGCGCATGTTCTTAAGTCAATGCTCACTACTGGTATCTATAATAATGAGCTAACTATCAATGCACTTACTATTTAAAAGTAGTTCCGAAACGGGAATTATTAGCCGGACAACAATAGCATAAAAACTAAAAAGAAATTCTTAAGGACGCTGTTTTTCTTTGAGTTTAAAAAGGTGCAGTAAAACTAGTGTTAGAGTTATTCCTGGTGAAATGAAATTTATAAATTGTAATATTTGAATAAAACTTCTGACTTTTGTGTTTTCATCCTCGGGATATCGCCAAAATCGCAGTTGACCATCCCAAAGTACACACCAGAACCGAGCCCAAGAAGCAATGTTTTCAACTGGCTGATATAAACTCTGCAAAGAAAATATCTCAGAAAATAGCAAACTCCAGATTACTTTCGCGACTTACGTTTGTTACACACTCTTATCATAATTAGAAAGTTTCTAATTAATAAAACTAAATTTTAGACGAAAAAATTACTCACCAAAAAGCCTTTATAGCCAACNCTCAGAAAATAGCAAACTCCAGATTACTTTCGCGACTTACGTTTGTTACACACTCTTATCATAATTAGAAAGTTTCTAATTAATAAAACTAAATTTTAGACGAAAAAATTACTCACCAAAAAGCCTTTATAGCCAACGGTGCCACAGTCTTCTGCATAACAACGAACTTTCATTTCGACAACTCCATCAAGTGGATAAAGAGTATCAGAGAGATGGAATCTAGTTTTATTCACACTGCTTATGTTAAGAGATAAATGACCAACACGCTGGAATGATGGGTCTATTACTGCCGATGGCCCACCGAGTGAGACTAGTCCTAGAATTGGAGATGAATAATGTATCATCATTTATTTCTGAAGTAGAAGTAAGCTATTGTGTTGATGGCAGAGTGAAAAAATGGCAGAAAAATCGAATTTAGACTTTCTCAATAACTTTCAACAAATTTATTTGTCGCAAATTCCTAAATTCTAGATTCAATTTAACTATAGATCCTATGATAATTTGCTTTGTGGGATAGTTTATTATCGAAATGGATTATTATCAAGATATTGCGTAATATTCCCAATATATTTAGCTGGAAATTTAGAGTGCTATTTGACTTTGCAAAGCTGCGATTAATAACCTGGTGAAAGCATCGATTTATGGGATTTCTTTAATGAGTTACCACCTTTGATGTGATATTTAGTTTCATGACGGAGCAATTCTCGTCGCGTTCTCTAAAAAATTATAGAACTGGAATTTAGTTCCGAATGCAAAAAATTTCGTGAGCCAATGAATATTTTGCTTCCTTATTGTAAACATATGCATTGTACAACAGTACCACAGCACTTGAGTGACACTTAACTTACCTTGGACTGAAGGACACCTCTAAATGAACTCAGAAATCGAATTACATTATTTCTATGTTATCACAAGTCCACTGATCTAGAACAGGGAGGAGAGATAAGTTTTTCGATATAAAAATATTCATTGTGATGATGTGTGAAATAATAAATCTAAACAGTAGACAAATCCAATTTCAACCTCCAACTTAGAAAAGTGGCGAATAACGCACAGTTTCCGGAAAGTATAGAATAGTCTAAAATAACTTACGAGAGCGAAAATTTCCAGTGTACAGCTAAAATCGTGAGAAAGTGATCGAAATTGGATATAATGCGGAAATTCAAGTCTTCCAGAACAAATGCCTTCATCGCTCGTCGTTAAAGTTGTATGGTGAACTGTTTCTTCATTTCGTATCAGTACAATAAAGTAGAACAACAGCTGATCTGAAAAACTTGCTAAAAACCGGATGTTTATTCTTCTGTAAGTGAACTTGTTAAGTTTGTTCCATCCATTCACACTATTTCGAAGAAATATCAGTGACCTTTTTTTTTAAGAAAATGAACTAAATAAACTGGAATTTCGCACTCATCGCAAATGGCACAATTGCAGAACATTCATTTTGATAAAGGTAATTATATTTTAATTCGGAGCCAACTCTCAAATTTTAGGCAGGATTTAATACAGTTATCTCTTTACCATCATGATAATTGATATGTCCATTAACGAAATCACGCATAAGTTTCACTGAAATATCTGAAAATGTTAGATTTCCTTTTGGCCCATCAGAAATGGAATGCTGGACGCTTCCGATCGCATGTTTCTGGATTAGTCGATCAAGCACAAAAATTAAAGCACGTCTCCGTTCCGTCGCTATCAGAAGTGCTCGCTGTGCATCAACCTGGAAAAAAATACGGACTAGTGCAGAATGACAGTCAAATGTACTCAAGGAACTCAACGTACTGTTAAATATACCTAATGAAATCGCTTAATGAACTTCTAACGAAACGCAGATTACTCCCTGAAGAGAGATTTAATCAATAAGTTAGGAAGTGCTTCATAAGTAAACTTCATAGTTAAATGTGAAGGCAAGATGTATGAATTCAAGAGCAGAGTGGGAATAGGATTAAATGGCTGTTCTTAATCGAACAAAATCATGAAATATAGAATGCCTTCTTCCACTTATGATGGCAAATTATCAGGTTAAGCATATCCACACAACTGGTTTGATAGAATTGTGTAAAAAAGCCACCAATCTTCGCAGCATATTTCCTCTAAATTGATGCACAACCTTTCCATTTATATTTAATAGAGACGTCTTTTCAGTCCACCACATGATAACCCATTTCCAAAATGTTTTTTGAGTTACTCCTCATGATTTTAATAACTACAGTATTTCAAAAGTTCCATGAACCTCTTCGCGACTTCCTCTGAATTCCTGTGTACTGTGGCAAAATGAGAGTGCCCGCGATGCTTGAACAATTTGTTCTTGCTGCACACTGATTGCCTTTTCTAAACGTGCTCGCTCGACTTCAAAATTTGCTCGATCATTCATGTTAGCCTTTGATATAGTACGATTGAGAGTGGTGGTACTATTGAACGGTGAAGGAGTAAACTGCCTAACAAAAAAATGGTTTAAGTCTCTTAAATCTAAATTTTACCAATATTTTCCGCATAACGTAGCGGAAAATAAACAACCAAAAGGCGTTCAACGATTTAAATTAAAGATTTAATAATCAAAAAACAAAACAACTAAGAAATGTATACACTATCCAATGCATAATATTGAAACTCCCCCGGTTTTATTCCTCAAATAATATCTTACTTCGATCCATTTGCAATTTTTATTATTTTACCTCACCATTTACCTCTCCATTACTTTATATTTCCATACTAAAACTGTGTTAATTAGCAAACAATAATTAATTCTATTTATTAGACAGTTATTTTTAATTGGACAAGGAAATGCCAGTAATCTTATTGCTTATCATCCTAAACTTTTTCTTACTTGTTCTTCCCCAGCAAATCTATCCCGCTGAGCTCTGTAAAGAAGTAGAAAAAGCAAAAACAAAATTATTTTAACTTAATAATTTGCAGGATCTTTTAGTTTTTAAATAAAATATTTAGAATTCAGAAGTGTCATGCAAAGGTTTGCAAAGAAATACGAAAAAGCTCCTAAAATTACCCAAGCATTACTATCTCACTCCCAGATCGATTTTCTTTCTCTTTCCTTCGATAAAAAGAAACTGAATGTGCCAGAGGAGCCATTGCTGAAACAAGCAGTCTTCATTACAGTATTGTTAATTCATAAAATTAGCAAAATAAATACTGACTGCTTCAATTTTTGTTTATACAATTTATTTACTTTTAATATATAAAGTATATAAAATTTTTTGAAATGGAGGAAGCATACCCCCAACATTCTCACGATCTGTCGATACCGTAGTTGGAGAAGATAAAGTGGTCCGAATTTCGGGTGTACTGAGAATGGCTGACATTAGAGAAGAATTTCTATCCGGTGTCTGCAGAAGAGTTCAGCTTGCACAACAAAAAGTATTAAACTTACAGCCCAACAGTTAACAGGAAGTTAAGTAAAATTTATCATCCGATTATTACTGCTGAATCACCATGTTGAATTTCCACTAAGAAACTGCTTCACCTTGTATTACACATAATGGTACTTTTACAAGACAGATTAGTTTTCTGGAAGCAATCCCTTACTCGATGAATAAACTGAAAAGCATCATCAATAAGCTGATTAGGTTCGTTGTTATTTTTGATGGAAATATTCGCTTTGCTTATTTCTTCTTGAATAGTGTCTTGTTCCTCGTTATATGCGAATCCTTGAAGCGCACTTTCGGTGGGCTGCTAAAAGAAAACCGAACTCTGTACAGAAGACTGCTCCTACACGGAATCTCAGCAATCGGAACTTATTGTCAGATCCCATCAGCACAAATGACAGTTTTGAAATTTTTATTTTTTTAAAAGCAGTTTCATTTTCGCAACTTAACTAAAATCATATAATTGTGGTAAAACAACAGGGCTAATTTACTAACAATATAAGAAGTGGAGTGAGCTGCCGATATTGGTCGAAAATCAGGAATTTCAACTGCATCTGAAAAACAAAATCAAAATTTCCAGTCTTCAATTTTTGTACTTCTGCATATTTTATTATCCACTTGGTTAGGTGTTCGGTTCATTGCTGCAATATAATTTTGTAAAAAAAATTTACTTTTTGTTTCACAGTATGACTGCGGTCGCATTCTTTCTTGTTTCAATGATTTTGCCATCCGTATAGCAGCCTGTAAAAGCTCATCTTCCTTCTGATCTGGATGTAGAGAAGTACCAGTAGCAGAAGATACCTAAAACAACTAATAACTGAACAGATGATAAGTACATATAAGATCCAATTTTTTGAGATAATGTAAAGTTTTACTTAATTTAACATAAGATGGTCATTATTAAAACTCATTTCACCTGCTCACTTCACAGATCTGCTTATGAAGTGAGAAAATATTTCAAAAAATGGCTCTAACAACACCTACTTCCCATCTGTCGCGCAAACTTTTTACGCTTGTCGAGCGAGTGTCAATTTCAGCGCAACCAGATTCTTTTCTCTGGAAGATGATAAACATAAAAAGATATAACAGAAAAGTTAATGAAATAATTAAAACAACAATCAATCGAAAGCAAGAACCAACCAATTGCGAGTGGTGACGTTCGAATTTCGAAAGCGTGGCAGCGATTTTGGAAGCAACCTTCGTTTTCACTTTTTCCTCACAAATTCTTTCATCGAGTCTATAAGTGACTTCATTTGTTTAAGCATGGATTTTTTTTAAAAAGACACTTGTGAAATTTCGATCCTATGCCAAAAGATTCACCTTATGACTGAGTCCAGAAGTCTGATCGAGTACAATCTCAAACTTATTAAGAAAACTGAAGGGAAGAAATGCGAATTACTTTTTCAGTTTCATATGAAATAAGTCACGAATTTCGACTTTTTCGAGCAATTGAAAATATTTTATTTATAGTGAAATTCAGCTATTAGGATTTTCTCATTTAGCCAAAACAAGCAGATGAATTTTAGGCATTATTATCTATTTTCTGTGTTGGAGACTTTTTTGAAGTCTTACTGTTTCGCCATTTGCTTTGCGTGGGTTGGCTTATCGGCATCAGTTGAACCTGCCACAGTGGTGCTCTTTACAGCTACCGTGATTTCATCATTAATGTTATTGCGTCTTCTTATGAAAAAAGCTCCTGGAAATTAAAAAATTCAAGATAGTTTCCTAACACATTTGCAGTTTATAAAAACAAGTTTTCTTTTAATTTTCAAATTTTTCTGTCCTCTCTGCAGATTATACCACTCACATCTTTTAAAATTTTAACGGAAATGTCATGACAAAAAGATTTTTAGAAATGAAGAGCGAAATTACCTTGATTCAACTTTGACTCGCTTTGGTTTTGTTTGTTACAATTGTTACTAATCTGTAAAATATATTATCACTAAAATAATAGAACAAGGAGTGAACAAAAATTTTGTAAAGCTCTCAAAAAAGATTAAATAAAATCAAAAAAGATAAATAAAATCGAAAACTTACGTTTTTTGGGGATTTCGGTAGTTCTTCTGGTGTTCTGCGCTGCAATGTAGAAGTATCATTAAATTAAAGATTTCATTCTTGGTAGGTTTTTTGTAGTTCAGATGGACTCCATCTGAACATTAATATCGGAAAATTATTTTGGAATATTAATATTCCAAAATAATTTTCGAAAGCAAGAAATCTCGATACTTACCTTAAAAAATTTGTGAATTCCATATTCTTCATTTTCAGAATAATTGTTAGCATCAGACTCTAACGGTTTTTTGTGCTCCATTATATCTTTTTTTGATTGTACTCTAGCGAGACATCTGTTGGTTAAAGAATCCTAATAATGAAATTCAAATCATACTTTATGGTTATAAAATCACAGAACTTATATGAGCCCTTGAATACGATATAGAACCAAAAATGAACATAAAATTAAGAGATTAAAAATTTAATGGTATTTTCCTCTAATTGCGAATGCCTTTATCAAAATTTCCATTCACAAATAATCCAAATTTATAATGAAGTTTCCAAATTAAGTTTTCCGTCTGATTAGCCACCACATCCCCATTAAATGTTATTAAAAGCTAAGCAACCAAATTAAACTCAAGCAAGATGATAAACAGTTTTCGAGTAAGGGCAACTCACACGCAGGTATTGCAATCGCAAATTTTTTTTGCTTGCATTGCACAATAAATCCCTTGATTTTAGCGATTCTAGTGATTTATAAACAATTACCACTGTCGCAGTCTTCTCCTGCTCATCCGTTTTGTCTAACGATTCATCGGCGTATGCTATCGTCTCATCATCAAAGGTGCACACTGGTTTCCCTTCATCAATACGAGATAAGGAACCAGTCGAAAGCTTGCTGACCGAAGCTGCTGGATAATAGCTAACGGTGGGTGTAAACAGTACTGTTGGGGACGTCTGAAAAGAAATTTGAATTCCATAAAAACAGATGGAAATTTATTTTTGATTGAGACTCAAAATGTATGACCAGCACTGATTCATAGATATTAATGGAAAGTATACGTTATACAATACTAAAACTTTGTTATATGGTTGTTTAGGAAGTTTTGGCGTTTCACGTCCAGTTCTTCGTGGCAATTTTACATATCCACAATGGATCCAAAAAAATCTTTGAAACTGAATTAAAATATTGAAAAGATAATAGGAATGTTAAAAAGTTAGATTACATCACCACCACTTAGACGTGGTGATAGCCCTTTGAGAAATGATTCCTTGGAGCGCACAGGTTTCATATCGCATTCAAAATTCTCGACATCAGCAGCAAGAGCCGCAAATCGAGCACGCAGTTTCTCATTACATGATTTGTCTGGGGTACCGTCGTCGTGTAATGAATCGTGACTTTGCTGAATGAGTACAGTGAATTTAAATGGGAATACACCAAAACTGGGAAACAAGATATGAATCCTAAATAGTTTTGTATATCCCTCAATTTAAACGTAGATTCTTTTCTAAATTTTTTATTTTCATATTCAAATCGCATTACTTTTAAGATTCGTAGGTTATATTAAATCAACAAACATTTTGAGAATCACTTAATGAAATTCTCTTCATTAATTCTAGTTCCTCTGTCGGATAGATTGAATGAATGCTCTGCTCTCGGTTTCTATTGAATAATGGACGCGCCGTTACCGATTCCGTGCCGCCTTGCGACAATGATGTTTCTGAAAACTTCTCCTTAAATACTGCAGAGTAGTTTGATTGGAATTAAACTGAAGTAGTAATAGAATCCATTAACTTGCTAATGGTAGGATGGGTATCTCAGTGTTGAAAAAATGATGAAATAATATTTTTCTATTTTTAAATGGAATTTTGTCGAACGGGACAAATTAGCACCTAGTTTGCAATTCAGCAATGCGTTTTCCTTTTCAATGAGCAATTCTCGCTCTTTTGTACGTTGCATAATTCTCTGAAATTTGCATAAATAAAGGATTTTACGCTTCCAAATAAAAAAAAGATAAAAGTTCTATAAAATGTGTATTTGCTTAACAATTACAACGAAATAAAAATGAAGAACAGAAGAAGCATCAATAAAATCTGCTTTCAAGACATTACTTTATCATGTTCATATCCTCCACATGAGCTCATTTCCTTCAGCAAAAGATATGATTAAAATGTTTAACTAATGCAATCATAAAGATGATTATTTTCACTACAATAGAACCATATTTCAAGCGAAACATTCAAAACCAACTCTTTTGAGGAAAATAAGTGGTAGGAACCGGTAAAGAAAAATTCAAATAATTTCACTGATAGCGTCATCTAGAATGAAAAACTTACGGCTAAATCGGCGTCTTCCATATTTTATTGATAATCGTTTAATCGCTTAAATACGTCGTTTATAGCCTGCAGATTTGAAAGTAGATGAGAAAAGGATTTTATAATAGCAAGCATCCGATAAAAAACCTATTACCGGATAAAATTTCTGTCATATAATAGCAATAATTCACAATGCAATATATTCTTAACCTCGATGAGGTCGCACAGCCGCAAATGTGTTGACATCTGATGACACTTGAAAAAATCCTTTAAATCTAATATTTTAACGAAATTATTGCTGAAGAAGGGATTTTAATAACATACTTATTTCATTATCCATACGTTACCAGCATCTTTTAATATCACAGAATAATGTGAATTGAACTATTTTGTAGTAAATTACTTTAAGCAGAATTTTCTTCGGTGAATCACATTATCTTAAATTTCGTTACGTGTTACCAAGGCCATGTATAGTCTTGGATGTTTATATTATGATGATTTTGGCTGATCATTTTACCTATAACAATTACTATTATTCAAGGTTGAAGGGGTATCTTACCTACTTCATATACCTCAAAATGAGATAAATACTATGAACTAGGGGGCTAGAATGCAAAATGTGTATAAAAGTCTTTCATTTTAAACACTCAGGATAAAGTAGTAATTTTTGCAGACAATCTTCGTCCTTTGCTTTTATTCCTATCTGTATGCCTTTCCTTTGCAGTGATTATTCGATTTTTCTGAATTCGGAATAAATCTAATAAATGATCGCCGCCGCATCATGTTACTACAAGTTTTATCAAAGACCAGTAAAAGACATAAGATTAGCAATATCAGTAAGCGACTGGAAAGGTCGAATATGTCCCTGTTGGAGACCAAACAGACACCCGAGAAAAATAGCAAGCACGCGAGAAAGTCCACTTGTCAAGAGATGCCAATGTAACCAACAGGAGGTTGTCAACACCTTCTTTTAGTTCTTCGTAAATTAAACAAGAAATTTAACAAATCATATCTTTACGAATCCAAAGGTGTAATCAGATATTTTTGAAATCTCGAAGATGGGAATAATCAGAAAAGCAAGCGACCCAAAAATAATTAACGTTTTCATCGATTGGTATACCTCCTCCACATCCCGCCCGTTTTAAATTCGAAATATATCGCCTCTAAGCCCGGTATGCAACAATACTAGCCCATGTCTGCATAGTTGGACAACGAAAACAAGTTGATGAATGAATTGATAACTAATTAGTGCTCATGAATTAGCATGGATGACTTCATCTAACCTTACTATTAAAAGATTCTTTCTGTAACCCAGCCTTTCTATATTTTTTCTTCACTTCCAATTTTTCACAATTGTTTGAAATAAGAAAGACGGGAAAGCGGAGAGTAGGAGGGGAGGAAGAATGGGAGCACCATTATGGTTTTTTGTAGAGGCTAACTTGGATTCCACCTCGATCGTTTATCTTCAGTTTCTTGTAACTACCGAACAGCTTTGCAACTTTACATCACAATTCAAAGGCATTTTCGTTGAGTGCCACCGAGAAAAGGAGTGACGGACCGCATGAAATTGAGAAACTTGATTAGTGATAGCTTTAAGTAGTATCTGACACTCTGTATTTATGTCGTGGGTGTACGAACTAGGTTTCCATGAGAGGTTGTCATCATTAGGATGAAAAGGTCTCCTTTTTTTTGCGCGAGATTAGTGGACACAAAAGCTTTCTAGCAAGTATTAAAGGATAGGGCAATGTTCACTTCTAGGATATTTTATGGGATAATCACAGAGGGTTCAATCTCCGAGATGCGATAACTGCGTCTTATGTGACCTAATGGGATTTGGCGATTAAATAGATTGGCAGGGAGATGTGGGAAGCATTTGGGTTCTCTTTTTGCTCCTTCCTGAAAATGCTGTGATTTTATTAGTTTCAACAGTAAATATGTGACTGGTAGCATTAGGTTCCTTTGAATATCAAATGATTCAGTGATGCAAAGTGGAAGTGGAGCCGGCTCTGATTTGTTCAGCAGTTATGAGCAGCATCCACCACCTCCAGGTTCACGTCTTGCGCAATATCTGCATGGAAACAACACCCAGCAAGTATCGCGACCTTCTAGTTGGACTGACCGTAAGAGTTTTTTCATAATTTTCAAATTACAGGCACTTAACGAAATACTAAGAGAAGGTGCATAACATATTGAGTGAAAGATCATTTGATCTTGATCTTTCCCTCATTATATCAAGATTCACTATTCATCAAGATCAGGTTGTAAGAGTGAATGAAGCAATTATATAAGTAGTAGACCAAGAACCAAAGCAACTTCTTGTTTGTCAAATATTACAGAAAAGCTATTCCGTATGGTGTTACTTTTTAGCTAGGTTACCATAAATTTTTGTAGGGACACCACCAAATCAAGCTACCATAGCGAGTCCTTATGCCTTCAGGAATCATCCTGCTTCACATTCCAGCAATGTTGGTTATATTTCTAATTATTTCCCTTTTTACCTTTTCTATCTTCCACATGTAACAGTATCACAAATATTAAACACACTATTGCAAATATGGCATAGTATCAAGAAATCTAACTTTCAGAGTTTCAGAAAAATATTCTATTTAAATTGGCATAATGCCGAATGCATTTTGTCTTCGAATGAATACTATGAAAACTAGTATAGTTTTGAAAGTGTTGCCAAAGAAATAATGAAGGATAAAAACATTGACGGTTAAATGCTAAACAATCATTAAAGATGTGGTGTGCCTTTCCACACAGATCAAGTTTTATCACATAAGATCCTCACAATTAGAATCTTTCTTTCTGAGTATGAACATATTAGATTTTTAAGGCATGATGATATCTTGCCGTCCGAACTTATCTAGAAGTAATTTTGTAGCTGCCGCATTTTACATCATCTTTTGCGGCAATGGGATTGAGTGATGAAAAAGAAAATCCGTCTTTATCGGCTATGCCTTATGGTTTTCCAACATCATCGCAACGATCACTTAACTACTGTAAGTACTGCTGATGTCATTTGCTTAGCTGAAGTTTCATTATAATTGATTGTGATGCATATGCTTTATTTAGCAGCGTGCTTCTGTAAGAAGTAACTCATTCGGATGGTCATTCATTTCATTCATATTATAATTTTATCTGAAATGGACATGTCCGAAAATAAATTGGGCATGTAGTGGGCATTTATTTATAACATTCAGGCTATAGATCAAGGAATAATACTGACTGTCAATTGTCATAGCATTTCTTTTGTAGTTTGATTTCCATGTTCATTTGAAAGTCTTGGATCGGTTTCCAGACTGTTTTTAATATTTTGCCCTTTTTTATTTTTATATTTGTTTTTTTGAGCTAATGTAACACAAGCTTTGGCTACCTCTCCGATAATGCACGATCCAATGAGACCAAGCAGTCACATAAGCCAAGAAAGTTGTGGTTCATCTGCTGCAAACTACATGGTTTGTTTTCTTCTGCAAGAAATTACAGCTGGAAATTTTGTTCGAAAAGAATAAGGACGCAAGGACTTTTCATTTCAATAATTTTATTTTCCAGCAAGAAAACTTTGGTGGGACAACCTATTTCTTCACACCAACTACAACAAATTCTACTGTTGCTGATGGACAACCTTCTATTCCACAAAAAGACGATCGCATATACGTGGTAAATTTCTTTAGTTCCAAATATTTAGTCGATAATATAATTTGGACAAATATATTTCAGGTACATTAATGCTAATTAGGACTAGGTTTAGTAAGGTTAATATAGAAGTTTTATTAAGCTATAAATTGTGACGGAGGAGGGTATGTAAAGCTTAATCATGAAAATAAAAGCGATGCTGAAACATCTTTATTGTAATCCCTTATATCTTTATTGTAATCTGTCATATGGGGTTTTGTTGCATTTGAATATCTGGTGTTTTTATAGTAATTATTCATTCTTTTTATACTATTATTTTATCGTTTCGCCTTATCTTGAATTCGAAAATTCAAAATACTACCCTTACATCTTTGTTATTGTTTGGTATGCTTTTGTTATTTCTCTTTTCATTTCAGTGGTTTTTTCAGACAACAAATGGTAATTTTGTTTATCATGGTCCATTGCCACATATTGGCAAATATAAACCGCCTCGAGGACTTTCGTATTTCACACCACCTGAGCTGAAGATGGTACTAAATTTGTAACAGAACATTGCACATATTTTCATTTGCATTCAGTTCCCTTTGAAGAGAGAGCTTAGATTACCGGTGATTCAGTATTGTCATTGGTGGGTGCAAATATGGCAGCTGACGTTATTTCCTGCACTTATTATACGCAATTATTGATATATATATATTTATTTTTGGAATTTTATTTCAGGAACTGTTGCAACGACAACTTGCTATACAGTGTCGCGCAGAACCATCGCTCTATCCTGATATTCCGCAAAATATCGAATATTTCCAGAATCTTGTTCCACTTGAAAATTTCAAATTTGTGGGTGGGCATATGGAACGAGGAATTATCGGGTCACATGTTACTACAGTCTATAAAGCAATTAATGGACGCGATGGAATGCCATACTGTTTAAGACGAATTCATAGTAAATTAAATAATTTTGTAAAAACAAATCATGGAGGAGGGAGGGGATTAGTGAAATATGCTATATAAATTGTCAAACGTGTTGATTTTATTTAATATATCAATTCAGAGATGAGCATATCGATAAAAAGACAAATCCAAGCAAATAGATATCGGCTGTTTTTTAAAGTTTTTGAGGGAAAAAAAGGCTTATCGTTTTAGACTTATGCCGGCATAGTTCTGTATTTTGAAACTTTGTTTTTCTCCTTTCTCTTTTCTGATACCATTTGTCCTATTTTCTGTAGATTTCCGAGTGAATGCAGTGAAGCAACTGTCATTAGCTGACAATTGGAAGAAATTAATGCATGTCAATGTTGTGCAGCTGAGAGATGTTATACAAACTCGTCAATTTGGCGATCATTGTAGGTTCTCTTTTTTTTAAGTGTCATTTCAGTAGAAAAGCTGAACAGTCATCGCTGAGTTTGTCCATAAACTGGAGAGAACATTCAAAAAACCTGAATTCTTCGTAGTTTCACCGGTAAATTTTGTTTAGTATTATGTAAGAAACTGTGTAGGAGAAAAAAATGAAGTGCAACATTTCAGCGCTGATATTTGCATATGATTATCATCCGCTCTCGGAAACATTAAAAAATCGACATCTGAACAATCGACTCAATGGTATGACAGCTATATCTTATTCGTAAGACGTTTAGGAAAATGTAATGTTATGGCGGTTGACTTCTTTGAGTATTTAAGCTCTCCTAAAAGGGTTAATATTTCTAACGAGCGTAGGGCAGACTTTTGAAACGAAAGTTAAACTTACATAGCAGGTGATTATTTGTGATTAATGATTTTAAAAAATGCTCAGGATTTACTGCTAATTTGGTCCAAGTCTTGTTGGTTTTATAAAGAAAAAATGATTTACTGTGGGATTAATTTGATATTTATTTAATAGTTTCTCAAACAAAACAAGTTACTTTAACACAGCGGTGAATGTGTGTCTTATATAGGTTCTTCAAAAGTGGGACCAATTTCAAATCTCTCTGGAGGTGGTCCGGTGGTACAAGAATCTTTAATGTGGTCCTATATTGTACAACTGTCATCGGCTCTTAGAGCCATACACTCCGCTGGCATGGCTGCACGAACTGTTGACCCATCAAAAATCATTGTTTTTGATAAAACCAAGCAAGTATTTTATGGATTTTTGACTTCCAATATATCTCTGTAGTTCTAAGATCAAGATTAAGATCTAATACTATGCATATTTTCATATATTATTTTATATTATGGTGACATTGGATGTGGAAGCGACAGTATCATCATGAATTCAGAACAATTTGGTTGAGAATAAAAACTAGTGCATGAGATTATTGTAAAGATGCAATTACTATTTCGTTAGGTTGCTATTCATTCACTCTTCATGTGCTACGTAAAATTAAAAAAAAGTCGTAACATAATAAATGTTTCGAAGTTTCAATCTAGAAAGTTAACTATAAATCGAGGCCGAAATATCCGTTGCTGGAAATTGGAATCCTTTTTTTGAATTTGTAGTTTGTTCATTTTTGCTTTTTTGTTTCAGAGTGATGTTGAGCAGTTGTGGTATTCTGGATGTTATCAATCCTGGAAATGATCATACCATACAGTTTTACCAGGTGGGCTGGTCGATCGATTCTTGATTATACAAATAAAAAACTAATGACTATTGTAACCGTGAAGGAACGTTCGTTGTTTTGATCAATTTTATAGAATGATGCAAGTAAGCAGTGACTGAAGTGAGATAACTGAAGGAATTTCGTTTTCAGCAAGATGATCTGAATGGTCTTGGCCGTGTGCTAATTGCATTGGCAATGGGTTCATTGCATGCTGTACGTCGTGAAAATATCAGTAACAGCATAAGCATTATTAATCAGCAATGTACCACCGACTTAAAGAACATTATCACGTATGCTACTATGTTGGACACTGATATTTATTATCTTATTCTTCCATTCTCTTTAGTGGAAATAATTTGAAACTGAAAAACTTGTTTTGAAACTCAAGCGTATCTAATCATTTCCTAATAGACACCTAATAAATTTTTAAGGTTTGCTTACGGTAGTTCCCTCATAAACAGATTATCAGGTTTGTTGTAAGCATATTTTCAGGCTTTTGTTACAAGCGTCAACTCAGCGTCCACATTCTATCAACGAAGTTATGCCAATGATTGGTGCTCGTTTCTATGCGCAGCTTGAAACGACTCAAATGAAAAATGACCTTCTGGAAAACGAATTATCGAAAGAATTAGAAAATGGTCGTTTATTCCGATTGCTGTGTAAATTAAATACTATTACTGAGCGAGCAGAGTAAGTTTTTTTACTATCGGGAATGATTTCTACTAATTTTTGAATGAAATATTTTGTTATTACAAGCTTCAACCCGAAATTTTTCTGATCAATTGAAAAATCCCAATTCGTCTTGATCGAAATGATAAGTATTAGAAAATTTTTCACATATTTATTTCAGGGCGTTCTCGGAGTGCTTTAAAGTGATAACTATTACTATATATCAGAATTTGTGGAGTTAAGTAACAGGTTTTGACTCGCAGTCGATATTCCAAAGAAATTTGAATTTAGGTTTCAAATGGACATGTCGTGGAGCGAGACCGGTGACCGGTATTTGTTAAAGCTGTTCCGAGATTATTTGTTTCATCAAATAACTGAAACTGGTAAACCGTGGATCGATATGGCACACATCGTCACCTCCTTGAATAAGGTTGCTGTTCCCAACTTCCAGTTAATTAGGCCTTAGTTTTAGTGATGGTAGAAAAACTGGTAGGATTCAGAGATTCTGTCCAACAATTATTCTGCAAGTGATTTATTTATTCTTTTTACGATACGGTGATTATTTTAGTAGTTTTCATGATTTCAAGTTAGCTGTTGTATTTAAGAAACAGCTTCTTAATACGTAATCATTATTATTTGTGTTTTGCAAACTTTTTTGGAAACTTATCATTTGTTCTCACCACGCGTTTATTAGATACTCTCCATTTCAATTATTTTTAATTATTCGAACTGATAAGTTTTTTGAATAGAAATTTTCAGCTAGACGCTGGTGTTAACGAGAAAATTCAATTGGTTTCACGTGATGGTGAAAATGTGCTTGTGGTATCGTACACAGATTTACGAAGGTGTCTGGAAAATGCTTTCAGTGAACTGCAAAATCGACCACCATCAATACCAAATCCACTATTGCCAGTAGTTGGTCATCCCTAACGTCTTTTGTTTAAGAGCTTATTGTTATTTGTTATCATACTAACAGGTGAGTTAAAAATTTACTATAAATTTAACATTATTTTTGCATGAAATTTCTATAACCTTGACGTAAATATCGTGTGGAAAGATATATTATATTAAGATTGTTCTTTCTTTGATGCACTATGGCTATTGAGACATTATACCGTATGCTGAAAAAAAGCTGTTCCAGGTACTCCATTTTCTTTGCAAGTCTTCTTTGCTTAGTGCTTGCATCTCCATTTACTACATGTGTATTTGTAGTTAATCAGTGGTACATTTATTCGTGCGTTTTTCTTACTACCGAGACATGAAATTCACAGTTTTTGAACAGTTATGGTTTATCGTTTGTTCTGGTTTATTTTATCAATTCAAATTGCTTTTTTTATATGAAAATAATTTTTGTTTAATATAACTTGCCACATTATTTATGGGTGTTGTATACTTTAATATTTTGTTTTTAGGTTTATTTGCTTCAAGTTCTTTTTTCATTTGATGTATTTTAAATGATGAAGCGTGATATATTTCATGTTGTTGTCAGCAAATGTTTGGTTGCTTTATTTTGTCACGTTTCCACTATTCTTTTAAAAATTATAGTGATTGTGTGTCAATATTTAATTCTTCTCTACCTTGTTCAACTCTCTTGCGCCTCTCTATTTCTGCTCAGAAATTGGTTTTGCCGCATTTTAATTTGGTGAAATTGAAACATCGTGTCATAGGTGTTTCTCACGAATATCCTTTTTTATCAACAACGCATTGCGTTGTTTTTCACATAATTTTTTGCAAAATATTGCGGCATATTTTGAAATGAGTAAGAATAGCTTACGACACTTTTCACTCTTTTTCTGTCACTTTTAAGCTAATTTTTGCAGCATGGAATTTTCTGACAGTAGAGATAAGGAAATTAAGGAGATGTATACTTCCTGCTGTTCAACTGCATTGAAATTCGAATAGACTTTGTGAATAAATTCTTGTCTGTGTTGTAATTTGGTTTTGAATTGAGTAGTCTAATTGTCTTTCCATTTGTTTTTATCGTCTTTTTTACGTTAGCGTTGAATTCTATTTTCCATTCATTTTTTAGATGTCTGTATTTTTTTAATTCACATTCTAAGTAAAACTAAATCTTTCGAATATTATTTTTAAGTGATACAATTTTGTCGGCAATAAGTCTATAATTCAGTTCTACTGTGATGTAGTTTTGCTATATGAAGAAGGTCGATTCAGGAAATAGATAATTCCAAAGTTTTGGTAGTTGGAAATTTCGTTGCAATATATAACTTATAAAATGGTCATTTTTTATTCATCTTTAATTTTTTTGATTCTTCGGAGAGTTAGTTTCCTTGCATTATTGGGGAGAACTCTATCTTTTTCATTTTGTCTGGTTTTCAGAAAGTCGAATTTTTAGATTTTTATAATGAATAAACTACCGATTCGGAAGACATTTAAATTAAGTATTAAATGAAGTATTGCGAGGAATAAAAAAATGTTCGAAGATGATAAAATGGCTTATTCTTATTATTATACCGAAAAGTGTGAGTAGGAAGAATGGAAGGGAGAGAGTTAAGAATTTTAGTGATAGCCTTTTCCAGTTACTCTTCCGTTCGCGTGTCTCGGTAGTGGCGCACTGCTCATTTATTCTGGTGATCAAAAGCATTTTTTGCACAGGAGATACGTCTCATTCTGTTTGATTCAGCAATCTATTTGCTTTGGTTTAAATATTTCTTTTTTGTACGCGGATTATATTTTATTGGGTTTCACGTGCTTGTAACAGTAAGACTTGTGCTTGGGTTTGTATTAGTCTTTGTCACAAGGAATTTTAGTGTAGTTTATTTCTTGTAATCTTTTTAATCGATAATATGGGATTTGTTTTCGTCTGAGTTTGTGCCACTTCGAGACATACCCAGCTGCAAAAATAGAAATGTGGCTTCAAATTGCAAAGGTTAGCGGGTGTTTGTGGCAACTCTGGAATTTTATTTAACGTTTGTTTTTTTTCGCGTATCATGTTTGCAAATGGTTTAGGATTTATTATAGATTTAAGTTTCCGGAATGTTGGAATTTTAAAAGATTTATTTTTCTAAAATTTTTCGTACAAATAGCATATGCACAGTCTTCGATTTTCAGAAGCATTGTTTGAATAACAGGTCATTTTTTTCGATTGTGGTATTAGTTGCTACTTTTATGAATGAAAGAAGACTTTTTAAAGTTGTTAAGTATCCGGACAAAAACCTTCTAGTGTTTTTCTTTTTATTCAAATATGCATTAAGTGAAAAGAAATTGTAGAGCAGAATAGCCCTATAAGGAATGGATTTACTGGTTATAAGGTCGAAAGGCTGAGAAATTATTTGTTTACAGTACACAAATTTTTGGTAACATATAAGCATGGGAAACGCCTGCAGTGCTTTATATGTGGATTTTCCCCAAAATTGGAAGGGAAGTTTTGTTTTTCTGTGATATGAAGAATCTCCATATACAGTGCCAGATGTGTTTTCTTCCGTTAAGATATTTTTGTCCAGCATTTCAAATATTTCTTGCTGTCAGTTTCCCAAAAATTAATGTTTACATACAAAGGCGTTACATGTTTGTGTGGTAAACGTTTCTGATGCTATTTTTTTCGATTTTCTATGTGAATCATCGTTTACTTTCCGAAGTTCTGATCTTTTCCACACGTTTCAAGAAATACATGTATCTTTTAAGTTTACGGAAATGTTATTGTTTGGTGTTTCATGCTTTGTTTTAGTTCGTTTGTTTGTTTCTAAACTTTCTCGATTTGTGTGCGGTTTCCATTAGTGCATAAAAATTAAATTAAAACTTTTTGAAAAACTAGTATCCGCTGTTCTATTACTGTATGCGGTGATAAACCATTGCTATTGTTCATTCAAACCTTTCTCGTAACAACGTGATAAATTGTCCTTCACAGGTTGGTATCTTTTTCTTAATATAAAGGGTTGTAAAGGTTGAAATTTGAATTGCTCAAGACTTGCTCAAGTAGATAACTTTAAGTGTTGAGGACTACTGCCTGCTGAACGTGACATCGAATAAACCGACAGATTAGATCAATTTACCCGGCCCGTGTTTTCGTTCTCTATGCAACTCTCTTAACCCAAAGGTGATGCATCAAGCTACGAGACCATTCATCATTTTATCAGTGGTTGTTGCTGAGTTGGTCTCCATTTATGGTCATGTCGCTAGTGGTGGCTGCTCAGCGATGAGGAGAAAGATACAAACAGCTAGTTTGATCTGTATTACTACCTTTATAGTATTTCCTGGTCGGCCCTTCACTGCAGCCTTTTGGCCGCCACATTAATACACGTCATCTTAGCGGTAGTAGGCTAGTGGAAAGGTGTGCAAGGCTCTTCGAGAAAGTTGGTGGTGAAGTGCTTAAAGGATGGGTTTTATGATCATGCTTGATCGTGGTCTGTAAACTAATCATTTTTGCTTTGAGCTTGAATGTAAATGAATCTTTTTTTGTAAATGATTCTTCAAGTTGTTTCTGAATTGCTCTACATCACCTACTTTGCACATGAAAAGCTGTTTGCACCTATCATTTGGTCTGACACCCTAGCACCCCTCTTCATAAAATATTCTTAAAAGGCTCGCAAAGTTGCTAAATGGTTGATTTATTTCTTTCAATTTTTTAATTCTTTAAATTGCAAAGGCGAAATATGAGGCGACATTGGTGGTTATGTTTTGTGCTGGCTGGATTGTTACTAGCAGCATGTGTGGCTCGTGATGAGAATGATAACAATGGTAATGATTTTGATGAAAAGAATGTACACGATGAGGAAGAAAAAAGTGCGAAACTTGTAAGTTTTCGCTTTATTCCTTAAATAAAAATTGTTGAATTAAATGGCATTTAAATTCTGGTCACTTGTTCAATACGCTTCAGCTTCTTATATTTTCGGTGGCCAAAGTGGAAAATGAAACTAATTAGTCTCTATTACTCTTTATACTCGCTTACTGTCTTGACACATTTGTGTTTTCTATTTTTTTTAACTTCTATGTTGATATTATTATCGCTAATTGCAAAGAAAAAAATGTTTCGACGTTTGCATATATCGACATGTGCTAAGTTCGACGTGTTACTGTACGCTCAAATTTTATAGTTTTCTGTTTTTCGTCTTCCTGATTGGTGGTGAGGAGAAATAAGTAAATCTTAGTTTAAGACTTTAGAAGATTTATATTTAGGAATACATACCACCACAATTTCAAACACCAGTGGTTTTCGGTTCACCTCTCTTGGTAGATTGGTTCTCGAATCGTAATGCAATTGGTACGAAATGGTTTATGTCAAAGGGCAAAAAGGATGATGTAGAAGATTCGATAGCCAAATTTAATGGTATTGCGGTTTTTTTCAGTACTTTTTTATGCTTTAATTTTTCATTTAGAAAGTGAAAGTTAATAATGTTCTGAATAGTCACAGTAGTAGTTATGTTAAATTACATCTTAAAATGCGCCAATGTCGACATCAGTAGGTTCTACCAGTATGTTAAAAATAAATGATTTCATTACATATTTGTATGTTTGTAAATCCATTTATAACAAGCAGCCTCAATTATTTGGTCGATTTTGATAGTTGGTAAAGGGACAAGCATTAATGTAAATAAGTACCTTTTCAGGTAAGTGGGAAATAGGCACTCCCTCAACAGTTGTAATTGACAATGATTTGGGATTAATTGTGAAGACCAAAGCACGACATCATGCAATTGCTGCAAAATTCAGTCGTCCATTTAAATTTGATGGCAAACCTTTAGTTGTGCAGTAAGTTTTTCTTACATAGGGTATAAGTGATTNTGACAATGATTTGGGATTAATTGTGAAGACCAAAGCACGACATCATGCAATTGCTGCAAAATTCAGTCGTCCATTTAAATTTGATGGCAAACCTTTAGTTGTGCAGTAAGTTTTTCTTACATAGGGTATAAGTGATTGAAACTTTGCTTTCATCTTTATTCTGTTAGGTGTTTCCTGATGGTAATATTAAAAAGTCGTTGTTATAAAATTGCATCGATAAAAGTTGGACTAGATAAGTAGATGAAATCAAGATCAAGTACCACGTTTATATGATGTTCGAAAGATTTTAAAAGAAAAAATATTCTTATGGACATCTCGCTATTAATTTTCTTGATATCGTGTAAGCTAGAAAGAAGAATAAACCACTGTTTATATCAGTAATGGATCCATCTTGTATGCGAAACATCATTTTGTTGATAACGGTTTTTATGTACTTATCTCAATAAGTAAAGATTAGTCGTTTGTGATTTAAATTTTATTATGTTGTATATTGAATATTACTCCAGAATTTTTTTGAATGGCAAAAGATATTTAGCTCAGTAATACGAATTTTTTCACATTAGTTTCTTGGTTTAGTTTCTCAACCAGGCATATTGCTTCTTTAAGTGGACTAATAGGATATATGAATATATTTCTCTTCCAGGTACGAAGTAAAATATGAAGAGGGACAAGAGTGTGGTGGTGGCTACGTGAAATTGTTAACAGAGGGGATAGAGGTGCTGGAAGAATTTACAGATAAAACACCATATACAATATTGTTTGGACCTGATAGATGTGGTGCCAAATCCAATATTTTGTTCATTGTTCGCTTCAGAAATCCCAAAAACGGCACTATCTCTGTTAGTTCATATATGTTTTTTCATCAGTTGTTGTTCTTAAGCAAAAATATGAGAATTTTTTTAATAAATGTAAGCCGGCAGTGGAATGGCGAATGTAGAACAGGGCTGCTAAATTATTATGATTATTATATTTAGTGCAGTAAGTCCCTGAAGGATAGCTCGATCGCACCGCAAGTGTGATTTGTACACAGGCATTTTGGAAACGACTGATAATGATTGTTATGAAACAGTTTGGTTTAATTTATCTACGAATTAAACTAAGAATAGCTGGGAGTATTTGAATTATATATTGTCTTCTGGATTTTAATTTTCCAAGTATATCCAGCTCTGTTTGATACTCCGGAAAAATGACTCTCTAGTCAATATAACCACGAATTTTGAGGTTGGTTTTGCAGAAAGTGACAATTACTAGGAACATGCACTTTCTAAGAAGTATTTTTTGAGCATATTTTTTAGGAACACCATGCGAAACAACCATCTAAGTCAGTTTCATCATATTTTGACGATCACAAAACCCATTTGTACACTTTAATTATTCGCTCAGACGAAACATTTACTGTGCTGGTTGATGAAAGTAAAATTATGTCTGGTAGTTTGATTACTGTAAGTTTTCTAATTTTTATATTTTTCAAATTTTTTTTCAGGCTGTTTTGAAATGATATCTTACATTAATTCAAGAGGGATCTTACGGATTTTTATATTTTTATATTTTCAGGATCTCGAGCCGTCGATTACTCCGCCGACTGTAATTGATGATCCGACAGACAGAAAACCTGAGACTTGGGATGAACGCGAAAAAATCGATGACCCAGATGCCAAAAAACCTGATGACTGGTGAATTTTTTATGTATTGTTGGGGTTCGATGGATTTGCTATTGCGGAGTTAATATGAAATGAAATTCAGAATAAATCTGAAAAAAAATAAATTTCATTCATGCTGAATAGGTTCTCTGCAACCCTATTTTTGCAAGCTTCTAAAATAGCAAATCCGCATAACGACGGCCCTGTTATAGGCATTTAACTGACTAAACTTCGATGAAGGAAGAAAAAATTAGGTTTAAAAATTAAAAGAACCTTTTTAATTGTTGTTCTTCACTCTGCTACGAATATCGAATTTATTCTGCTACCTTTTTTTAAGGGATGAAAATGCTCCTCGGAAAATTGAAGATGCGAATGCTGTAATGCCTGATGATTGGCTTGAGGAAGAGGAAGCGTTAATTCCGGATCCAGAGGCAATGAAACCATCCGACTGGGATGATAGCATGGATGGCGAGTGGGAAGCACCGAAAGTTGATAACCCAAAATGTAAAGATCGGAGTGGTTGTGGTAAGTGGACAAAGCCAATGATCGATAATCCAAATTACAAAGTAAGTTTTGATCGAAGGTGTTTTTTCACTAACTAAAACTTGTGCCGATTATCGACTCTTCATTTTGTTAAGAGGGAAGAAAATTTTTTAGGATTTATGGTATATTTTCAGGATTAGGTTGATAATTTATTGGATAATGTTATGTTTGATTAATACATCCAATAATCAGCTGAATGAGTTTATGTCAGTTGAAATCAGGGTATGGTTTTGAAATGTGAAATGAATACTTAAAATGTGATGAAGTGATTTAGATGGTTTGTACTTTGTCTGAAACTTTCATGCTGCTGAAATGGGATGGAAAAGTTCATTCGACCTAAAGTTAAAAAAAGACTTATTTGATATCTTCTAGGGAAAATGGAAGCCACCACGCATTGCAAATCCGAGTTATAAAGGGAAATGGAAGCCAAAACAAATCGAGAATCCGAATTATTTCGAACCTCATCCATACTCTCAACTACAACCTGTTACGGCGCTTGGAATTGAACTCTGGACAATGAGTGCAAATATTATTTTTGATAACGTTTATATTGGGGATGATGAAAATGCGGCTTCCAATTTTGCCAAGCAAACTTTCAGAGTTAAACTTGCTCAGGTATTTTTCTTATGAAATAAGAAATTCTTATGAAATAATCTTTATTAAAGATTTTGTTCTGTAAAGAATATCCATTTCTAAATTTGGGTTTCCTACAACTCTTGATTATCTATCATTCGTCTTGCAGGAGACAGCTTACGAAAGCGCATCCTCTTCTGATCAAGGAATATTTAGTAAACTCGTATCAGCGACCGAGGATCGGCCGTGGTTATGGATTATTTATGTACTATCCATTCTTGTACCAGTGGTCATTATAGCTGTTATTTGTTTCGAACGCAAAGGTCGTCCCGTTGCGCAGGATTATAAAAAAACTGATGAAGTAAGTTACGCAGTAGGTTCGTTAAGTGTTAAAGGTTATTCAAGTACTTGTTTCAAATTATATCGAAAAGAATTCCTTTACTAAGTAGGGTTATCCTTTACTTTTTTGAAGGCGCATCCTGATGACGAAGTGCCGGACCTTGTTGGTGATGATGATGAATCTGTAGAACGCAGTTCACAGGAACCCGAAGCACATGGTGATAATGCAAAAGAAAAGAAAAGGACTCCTTCTCAATCACCAAACCGTTCTCACATTGAAAAGGTAGGTATAAGTGATCATTTTTATGGTTCTTTTATAATTGGCGCCATAGTTGAAAAAATGGATCTTGAGGTACACTTTATTTTTTGGCTTGTCGATGAATTAAATAATTTCTAGTGCCGAGCATGTTGCACGTGAATTCGTGTAATTTCATGTCTTGAGGAATTTTTTTGTGCAAATACAGATGGGTCAAGTTTCAGCAAAGAAGTCATCAGTTAGAGTTGGGATCTGCATACATTACATATATAGGGCAACTGAAAATTTTTATAATTGAAGATGAGAGAATTATTGCAGGAAGCGTCATCTAGTGAAGAAATGAAAGATGGAGATCACAATTCTCCGAAAGTGAGACGCGTGCGTCAAAGGAAACAGGACTAGAAAATACAGATATCATTAGCTCTATTCCAAATTTGCAACCGTCTGTAAACGAGCAGAGAGTGAAAGTATTAATGTCACTTTTTTTGTTTGTGGCGTTTTTTTTGTTAGCTATTCCAGAATCAACTTTTTTCAGAGTCATTTTCTAAAAGTGATGACATTGTTACAATATCCACCAATGAGTTTTTTTTAGTATGATGGTTTGTTTTTCAGAGCTGGTTGTTACAGTAAAAACAGTTCTTTCTTAGGATTTTGAGATATTGTCCAATTTCTGAGCACCGCTTTTTCATGAACGAAATATCCATAAGGTGCCGGAAATCATAAATTTGTTTTTATTCAACTCTTTGGAGTTTTAAGCATAATTACCTTCAACCTGGTAATTGACCCTTTTATTCAAATAATTTTCGTACACTCGGAAAGGATTGGAGCTCGGGTGATTTTCCAGGAGTACTAATGAATTCATCGATCTTTGAAATAGTAATTCTTAGTTTCTGTCAAGCAGATGACAGACACATCGAATTGAAAGCTGAGTGGTAGGTCCAGATTTTTTACTTCATGAATTCCTCACATTCTCTGTCGATTTTGAATGATACGGGCATTTTTACTTCTGTCATTATTGGGGCTGTCGGTGTTTTGATTTGTTCGTCATTCGTTCTACAGCTCATTTTATTGGCAGACAAGTGACTGTTAAAAACATTTAAATGAGGAATAGCAAGAATTATGTGTCCTCTCTTAGTCACTGGCATTGTTTTGATTGCGAATTGGCAGGATTTTAATTTTTAATGGCGTTCAAAATTTCATATTCAAGAAAAAACTTATTTGGCTTATACAGCTGTTATCTCTTTCTTTTGATATGGATCAACCTAATGTAATTGCTACGACAGTATACGCACACTCATGACGTGCGGCCCCTCAATGATTTTTGTGCGATTTTGTCGCGAACATGCGTTTTCCCAATTCATTTTTTAACGGATTCATGCCAAAGAAAACAAAGACCTACTTTTCATACTCCCGCTTTGTTTTAGTTCGTCGCTTTCGATCAACTAGATTTTTTCGGAAGACCTGAAGTCTTCCCTTCCGTGTATTTACTGAAACTCTAAACTGATTTTAAATAACATCTAGTCTTGTCAGATCGATGTTTTTGAAAAGGCATTGCTATCGTCAAATTGCTCGCTTTTGCTTGTAGTTTAATAGAAGTCAAGAAGTGCTCGGCTAACTGGTTATTCTTAGCTTTTAATTTCACAGGCCGGTAATACCATACTTTTTGATTACAATGTTTTTTTTCGGTTTCAATTGTAACTGACTTTATTTTAATAAATTTCTGTTTGGTACCTCAAACAAATGTTATAGACTCATGTTCCTATCTAACAAACGTGATTTGACTCATGTTTCTAGCTAAAGTAGTTCTTTTATAACTAACGTTAAGTTTATTTTGACTCATATGTTTGCAAACTATCCCGTTGGGATATCTGTTTAGTTAACGAAGTGACTTGGATATTGATAAATGTCAGGTAACTTTATTTTACCTCTTCTTCAACTGTTATATTAAAGTTATCTACAATTACTTGATCTCTTTTCTTTTAAGTATGCTATTTTTTATAACGTTTTCCCATTTTTGATAACGTACTAAACCGCCGAACCTGAAGATATACGCTACGTACAACTGGAACTATTTGCAAGGTTGACTTTCAGATTTTTATAATTTAGCTTCTAACAAAAGTAGCGAAAAAATTGTCAGTTCGTTATCAAAACGCTAATTAACAAGGCAGATTTTGAGTGAACTAGGAAACTTCAGCTATTGCATCACTTCTTGTTGCAAGTTGGCCCGATGCAGCAAGTGTTTGGCTCAGAATACTTTTACTTTAGAAAAGATCATATTCATATAATGCTGTTTTGCTGATTCATACTGAATACAGTGTTCAACAATCTGATGCTTTTTTGGTATCGTTGGTCTCGAATTCGAGAGTACTCGTTCCAGCTGCAAAATCGATTTTATATTCATCTTTAAAATCTCTAAATTTGAAGCTCCTCACCTTTAAAATAGCCAGTAAATTAGTAAACCAGAAGAATAAAGTATTCACTGATTTTATTCCTTAAGCTTTTCTAAGGTAAGGAAACTGACTTTTTCTTAATTCTTTTCCAATGTGGTAGGTAAACAGCCATAAGCTCCTTGGAGCTTGTTGTATCTACTTTGATTTTGGTACTGATGTACAACGGTGGAGGAGCCGGTTCGATCCGGATACGATCATGCGGTCGTGGCAATGCATAAATTTCTTTTGTAGCCAGTAAGTCCTAAATATAGCTGTAACTTTTTTTCTGAATATAACATCTTACATCAGTTCCGAAATGTTTTTCGGTTTTTTTCTTCTCACCACATTTCACAATTTGTTTAAAATTCACGATACTTCTGCCTTAAAATCCTAGGATAATGCCGCTAATTCTTCGACCTACTGTTCGGTTTATAAAAATCATAAAAGCTTTCATCAATGTGTTTTCAACAAGAAAGAAACTGAAACCAAGAATGGAGAAAATCATTGACCAGAATAATTTCCTCAAAAATGTCAGAAAAGTATTGATATAAACCATAAAAGTCCCAAATGGAACCTACAAGTGAGTCATCCGGCGGTTCTGGATGTTCTATTTCTCGTTTTTCTCTTGGTCGTTCATCATCATTACCTCGTATCCAATTTCGACATAACGAGTACACGCCTTCTCTACGACCACTATCTCGCAGTGCAAAAGGTTTGCCACGAAGCTCGAAAACCATTCCTAAAAACTAATTTTATATTTTATACATTCTGAAAAAACTCATCTATTTCATCAGGTAGCCTTCTCACAGACCCAAGCGTTAATCAGAATGACTCATTCAGTTTATTTAATGCTCAGCGTAGCATTTTTAGTAGTTGATATAAAAAATTTCTATATTTCTGAGAAGCAGAATATGATAAACGGTAAAGCCATGAAACAACGCTATATTATTATAATTAAAGCAGGCAGCCACTCACGTCGACTTTCACGCCGTAACGATTTCTTTGGACGTTCAAGCAAGTCCCTTTCCATCTCTTCTGGACTGTAAAACAGAAATTGACATCAGAATAGCTAAATTTAAATATTCTAGCAAGTCTGATCCAACTACTGAACTTGAAGTCAAATGTTTCATAATAAATCTAGAATTTCAACCAAGAACATTCCTCTGATATAAGTGCAATCCAACCTTCTAGCCCGATTTCTAGCTTGTATCCCAGTTTGAATCTCACCACTTCGTATTCCATCAAGAAGATGACCAAAACGTGTTCGAGCGAATTTCATATCTGGTGATTCGGGCATATTCCTGACCAATGTCTTCTGTGAAGTAAAACAGATAAAAGTGATTTAAATATCATTGAATTTTTACAGATACACGTAGCTTCTGTCCATGAAAGACTAGCGGTGGAAAGATTAAGTAAAATTATGAATGGTTGGAAAAGTGTATATGTTAAGTAACAAGCACCTATTAGTGATTCTAGATTAAATGCGCGTTATATGAAAAGTTATAATGAGATAAGGTAGAAACTTCAAAAATAGCAGATTTCGTTTTTTTTGACGAGAATTACTTAGAAATACCTCTTGTGTAGTATTCACTTTCCAAGGTGAAGCACTGGCGGTACTCGAAGCACCATCTACCGATTGGTCACATATGGGAAGCACTATATCTTCCGCTCTTTCCAATGATGACATCCTATCTCTGAAAAGTTTTCATACTGATTAGTTTTCTGAAAGATTGTATTTACTACTCATTTAACAACAATAAACAGAAGCAACACCTTGTTGTTACCGAAAATTTATGTAAGTCATATATGATTCATCCGAGATTTAAGAGCACTACAAGAAGTTTATCCGGCATCTGCATACGTGGCACTCTGCCCAATTAGGAGGAAATGTACACAAGTTATCCTACTGAAATGAACGCTTGAATTTCGCGGTTGTCACTGAGAGACGCGATGAAAATCGCTCCATCATCTCGTTACCTGCTGCTGTCATCAAACGTTTTTGATCCCGAGTCTTCCTTTTCCGCCTTATAATCGATGGAATTCTTCATTTCGATGGATCTTCCTACTAAATCTGTAATGCTTATGATATGGAACATTACGAATAATAAATTTCTGAAGGAATAAAATATCATTTAAAAATAACAAAAAAATAATATTAAAATGGATCAGAAATTGAATTGCTAAATACTTGATGTTTGTTGTTTTATTATTGAGGTTTGGTAAGTTATCGATATCTTCGATGATTGCCGTTTACCGTCAAGTTCCATTCGAAGAAAAGAAAGAATTTATTTCTGAGTAAGCAAGATTTAGAGCAAATATGCTTTGTGTACTGCTTTTTTCTCTATAGCTAATTAATGATATAATTAGTTATGGATGAAAGAGTGTAACATCACTCAATTATTTTTCTAAGCAAATTCATTGAGGAAAGCAAATAAAAAAGCTTGAAATTAATGGGAATCATAATCATATTCAATATTTGATGTTGCTGCGATGACGTTTGTTGAACGGATATTTGGGTCATCCTCACATAAATGTAGTTTTTTAATGATTTAGTAATTAAAGCATGTAATGTAAAATAAGACGAGAAATACGACTGGATCGGAACGGATATCAACGATGTGGACATCACATGCATCCATCTTTCCTCTTCTCTTCCTATCGTTCAATCACCTGTTATATATCTGTTACAACTATCATCGCATTGGCAATTGTTGTCGTTATTGTTGATGTTATTGTTGCTGTTGGTCAGTGAAGGAAGTATGTAGTTTAATTAATACTCGCACATCTTTTTTTTATTCTTAATTCCTTCCTCTTCTTTAATATTATCATAACAAAACTATCTGCTTTTGTTAGTGTTATTCCTTTTGTTATCACTTTATCATTTACTATGCCTATTTTACAGATACTTCAACAGATCAATGGCAATACCATCGTTTGTTATTTCATTTATCGTTTTCACTCTTTCCGCAAATAGCGTAGGTCAGTGTATTGCTATGTTTTTTTTTTTTTCAATTGATTTGCGAGTATTTAATGATAAATACAGTTAATCCGAGAGCTCATTACCTAGTTTGAATAAATTCCGATCATAACTTCGGGAAATAACCGATATATAAACAAAGTTTAGCTAAGCTGAACTTATTTATATTGATCAGTTGTACCAATTGTCTTCATTTCTGAACGTCTGAACTTTATTTCTAAGGTGAGTTTTGCTTATATTATAGATTTTTGTTAGCATTTATTTCAAATAAATAAGTAATTAATACAGAAAGTATTCGAGTAAATTGGGCTTAAAATCATACTTTGGTTATTTCTTCCTTTTTGATTAATTTCTGACATTCTGTAAAGTGACCTGGATTGATAGAATTCGCAAATAACTTTCGTCTTATTACATTTCTCACTTGAGACGTTGAACGATTAACATCGCTTAAATATACGAACTGTATGGGGAAAAATATGCACATCCTTTTAACATTGCGAATTATTTTAGCTGAAATTTATTAACGTAGTTTTCAGATCTTTTTCTTTGCCGCTTTTTCGATTTCTTCTTGGAATAACTAAATGAATTTGTTTTCTTAGAGGAAGCAGAATATCCTTTTATTAAAAAAAAATGTTCAATTCATCAGTAATTAATTATTTGAAATTAATTAAGCTATTTTTTAAAAGAAATTGCCTATGTGTTTGATGAGTTTCAGAAGCACAATTGTCAGCAATGTTTGGAAATGCAGTACAAGCGGAAAATTGTGCCAAATGGACAGCTTGGGGTCCATGTATTTGGTTAAAAGGTAATAATTCACGATGGCAACGTTCCTATTTCGATCAATTGCTACCTGGGAAAAATGGTTGCCGTGAACATATTTTTTTTAAACTTTTACGTGAACGTTGGAGCGTGGTATGTTGTATCCTCGTTTATGCAATTCTAACTTTCTTTTTTAATTTTAGAGATAAAAATGTTTTGATTTGGATATAGTAGTAAATATCATGAATATTACATTCATCCTCAGGAATATTATCTTTCCTATCTAACAGAATTACTATTTAATACAGTATTTCTTAGTTTTTCGTTTTTTTAATATTTGCTCATAAATTTGTCCGAATACCTTTCTATTGAAAAATACAGCGCAAAAAAACTTAAACTTAAATTTCAACTGCTTCATTCATGAACAGCAGAAATCGACATGCTAAAAATTTAATTCTTCGTCTTAGTCCTCCAAGTATAGTTGCTTAGTTGTGTATTAGTTTGCTTTAATTATACTTCTTTATTCTCTTTACATCGAAATTTATTTCCAAAGGCACTTACTAAAATTTTTTAAATTATGTGATGATGATAATGCCAGATTTGAAGAGGAACTGGATAAGAAGTACTATTTGATGATTCTCAAGTAAGAGCAATTATAGATTTTGCATCAAATCTTAAAATTTTTAATTGAATTTTCTGAAGGTTTTTTGAAATCTACTACTTTATTTGAAAATAGAATCAGAAATAATTTGAAACGCACTTCATTTTTGCACTAAACTATATTTTGAGGCCATTTTTAAATCCAACAACGTAACAGCGCACATTTGTTATTCATCGCAGATTAGGATCTATTCGTTGATGATCTATCGATAACAGTGAAATATGCGTTGTAGGTCATTTGTTTAAGTCATTGTTAGGAAAAATTTGTTCTTTGCAGAAGCTTTTAAGTGACAGAAATGAAATTATTAATGACTGAATATTTTACAGAGTAAAGTTAATTGGGATGATTTTTTAATAAGATTATTTCGTCCATGTCAACTGATAGACAATATTGAAAAGAAACATTCTTTTCACTAAATCTAATCATTTTAAAGTGACCATTTCCTAATGCGATTAAGAGTGGTTTATTTCGCTCAATTGTCCATTAGCGTTCTTCTCGGCTGTATGTGTCATAGTGTGATGATATATGTTTGGAAGAGATTGTCAATCAAAGATTTGCTCTGTTGATATCATATCCTAATTCTCTATTAGAAATCTTCGAGCATGATGCGTACTTATCATCCTTCCATCGAAAAATAGATTTGAATAAATAAAGGAAATAGTTATTTAATGAAAATTCAAATTTCAATTATCCAGTTCCAAACATTGAGAAAAAAATTTTGTTATAGCATTTTAAAATTATAATTTGAATTATTGAAGACAGCGTTGAAAGATTTATTTATTCCCTTGCCAACAATGAAACGAATGGCAAAACATAAACAGAAATTCAAATGACCTCGAAGAGGAATGTGGCGTTGTCAAATTAACAAGCCATCGTCGATGCATCGATAATTTCTACAAATTGTTTTGTTTAAACAAAAAAATGATAGAGATAAAATAGAAGAAATGACGTTATGCTTTCCATCATTTTTTCTTAAATATCTATGTTGAATTAGCTTATCCGATCTTTATCGATATCCGATCTTTTAACTTTTGAAAGTACAAAAAAATTCCAAGAATATCTGCAGCACAATAACTTCAGAAATGCAATCTCGCAAACAATTTGCATATTGAAATGTGAGCTATTCTTGAAGAGATATCAAATTTTATTAGAAAGAAATTAACTTTTTGCCAAATGCTGAAGAAGATTAATTTAAGATTATGCATATTTTTCTAAGAACGAATAAATATAAAATATTTCTTTCTACCAATGACAAATGTTATTGATTTCATGCTATTGAAATTTTATTTTTTGAAGAATATAAAAATAGTACGGTACAGCTTTTGAAATCAAATTAATGAGATGCGCAAAACTTGTGAACTTATATATCAAGTTTGGTTGATCATAGAATTGAAATTTCAAAACTTATACGAAAGTTTTAAGTGCGGTAGAAAATTTTTGCTCGTTAGAAATAAAAATGATTGTAAATCTGTACATTTACTTCCTTAAATTTGTGATTGAATAATTTAGAATGTTCGCTTTTCGTTTCAACAATTGTAGGTTTATCTATTAGACGCTATTCAATTATTACTTCTTGGCTTGAAGTAATAACTTCAGGCCAATGTCTAATAGATAAAATCCACAATTGGTGAAATTATTACTTCCTGGACTTGAGCTAGCCACTGCATTTGAATAATTGTTATTATGGTACAATTAATATGACCGCCAAGTATATACATCATCATTGCTATTCTTCCTACTTCAGTTTTAACTTTTTTGTTTACTGTCTTTAGTTTCGTATTCAAAATGCAAAGTTCAATCAATATTTACGATCATAAGCAATGAATATTTGTTTATTTAATTTGAAATTAAAAAATGAATTAAAAATTTGATAAGATAGAACTGATATTTTTTTCGAAAATTTAGCTTAAATGAAAACATAATACTATTGTGTCTTAGTGTCGATTTGGTAATACTTCATTTGAAATAATCAACATTAAGTGGACTTTAAATCATAATTATGTCCTATTTTATGTCCTCAAATCTGACATTGATTTATATATCTTTTAAAAGTCAAAGAAGAGAAGCTTAATCTTCTAGCTCATTAATTTTGACAGATTTTAGGCTTTCAATAATTTCTATAATTATCTTCGCAATGTTACCATCAGTACACAACAATGTGGCCAATGCTCCTATCAACAGAGTTGTGGAAGACAGTGTCATCGGCGGTTAGTTTACAGCAACAATGTTGCTTCACATTATAAAAAAACAAGGCAAATAATGGATGTGATTGAAGCATTCATTAAAAGAAATATATTGCCTTAAGAAATATAGCAATATTTCAATTGATGAATACTCTTTATTCATTGTCTAATTTCAGGTTCTTTTCCGAGAACTCATTTTATATTAAAACTTAAATTTCATTTTTCTTCAAGAGATTTAAAATTTCAATATTTGTTTGAGATTTTGTAAGAACTTTATATTACATACTTAATAATGGTAATAATCATTATGATATCCGTTATAAGCGTCATAAACTTTGGGCATTTAGGAATATCTTAAAATTATAATAATCAGTATAACTAAAAATTTTTCCCATATTTCTTTTCTTCATAGGCTGTTTTAATCCAAAATATTTCCCAGAAGATTTCATTTGAAAATGTTTTGTTTGCAATTTATACAAACTGACAAGCATTTCAACAAGGAAATATATGTTTGTATGGCTATCCTTCTTTGTTGGTTGAAACTCAATTTACATTTATCGCTTTGTTTCCCTTTCGAAATACCCCGTAATAGTAATAGATATTATTGCTATTTTCAAGAGAAATACTTCAAATAATTATCATAGCTTTCATTTCTTTCATTTATAGAATTCAATTTACCATATGAAGCACTTTTTTTCACATATTTTTTAAAGCTTTTAATCTCACTATAAACGATGAGAAGAAAGAAAGCGTTTTTAATCAAAATTAATCAAATTTTTTGATTTCAACTATATAAGCCTAAAATTGATAATTTATGAATGAATTGAGCTGTGAAATTTCAAAAATTATCATATATTAAAGTTTATAGGATATAGGCAAAAATACATTTTCATTAAAATGTTGTAATGTGCGAAATAATATTTTACAATCATCTATTTGAATTTTGAAATATTTGAAAAAATTTATGTTAAGTTGTCATGTTACGAGCTATTGCCTGTGTTTTATCTACTAAACATATGGCCAGTAAACAATGAATAAAATTTTACGATCCTTCTGAAGCTATTAAAAATTCAGATTTTGCAAAGATTGAAATATTTCCCCTGAAGTATAGAAATCACATAAATCTTTTGTCGAATTTGATAATTTGTTAAATTTCAGACCTTACAAGTAATTATCTATGAACCAATTAATACCTATGTTTTTTTGAATTTTGCAAAAAAGGAAAATCGGAATAAGTGAAATTTAGTGGTATAACTGATGCGATCAATCCGCTCTTCGTTGCGGAACGTATTTGTGCTGGAGTAGATCAGTCGGCGGCATGTGAATCGCAGTATGTTGAAGGATGCAAGCATTGGCCGAATTCAAATATCAAGCTACCCAATGTAACTGATACCATGCAAGAGATAATTGATAAAATCGATTATCTAAGCTGTATACCGCAGAAAAAGTTTGTTTCTTCTGTAATCAATTTTAGTATAATTTAATCTGAATCATCAAAAGTTTGACAGGTTGTTATTAGCGCGCAACTGACTGGTCATATCAAGAGTATATTTGTTGACAGTTTTTCATGCGTATGCTTTTAGGTAGTTAGGTAAACGAAATTGTATTTTCATCGAAATCTATGTGGGAGCGTTCATTGTTAACCTGATCAGTATTTATTATCAGTACACTTGTTATCAGGAAAGGCAGTAATGCATGAAGAAAGAGGGATGGATGCTTTTGAAAGATTTACTCATAAGTATTAAAATAACCTATAGTCTTTGAGCTTAGCAGGCTTAATATCTTAGTGATATCAGTGGCAGACTGATTGTTTGATTTATCTGTTTTAACCGCCATCTCCATTTCTGTTCATCACTGAATTTGTAAAATTTCTTGATTCGGATTTGAAACACAAGTAAGGTTTATAGTTCAATGACTGTCTTCAGGTGGTGCATCTAAGATAAAAGCATTTTTTGAATTAATCAATCTCCAAATCATCGGATATATGTATGTTTTTCTCATCTTATCATTGAAATTCTTTTCAATCTTTTTGAGAAATCAAATTGTTGAGAGTCTGTAAGATGAAGATGATAATAGAAAATTTAATACTATTGTGTCCTCCTGGAATATTCATTAATTTATTTACTTATTTATTTATTTACTGTGTTAATTTATCCATTTGCTTATTTCTTCTTCATCATTTTGTCATCTTTTAGGTAAATTTGATTACCTCATTAATGATAGTTTTATCATTCTTCTAATCATTGAGTTTCTGAATTCTCTGTAAAATTTGAAATGTATCGCTTCAGAAAGCTTATTGTTTTTAGCTAAAAAAAAATGGTTGGAATGTAATTCCGTACAACATTAGATATCTTCTAATTTTTCCTTCTGCCCTCGAAATGATTAACAAATTGGCTCATACATACCCAAATGTCATTTTCATAGTCTCTTATCTCCGCTCGTCTGTTTTCCGCCATTTTTTGCATTCCCAGGAACTGTTTGTTATATCGGCAAGAAATGCGGGAATAGTTCATCGGATCGTCTGAGTTTTTTTGCATGTTCATTACACATTACACAAATGAATGGTATGAATTCGTTCATTCCATTCATTTGTGCACTTTTTTGTTTATCTTATAATCATTCCTTTTTTGTCGTCTTATATCACTTTCTTGTTTTAAGAATAAAAAGAGAGTTGAAAATGAAGAGAATTCGCGGAAGAGAAGAAAGGACAGAAACTCTACGGATCAATCAGGATATTTCATATTGTAGTTGGAATTCAATCTCATCTTACCTTTAGCTTTTTTTTTCTTGGCAAAATATTGGATTTACTGTAGAAAAAAAAAGATAGATAATAGCAAATTTATTGCTTATGCAATCTTCATGTTACATTGATATATGATATTAATTGATGGAAAGAGATGATGCCACCTTGACCGAATTATAGTAGTGTTCCGTTAGAATTATAATTCACTGGGAAATATCATCGTCATCATCATCATTATTTCTTCAGTCACGGTGAAGGAGAAATCTTTATATACGTAATTTTATTACATAAAACATCCAATTATTATACGTCTAAATTTCAACGGTCTATATATTCTTTTTATTGAAAAAAGAAGTTAATATAAATAATTTTTTTAACGTAAAAATTAATGCAAATAAAATTTTTTAAATTAATATATATGATAGTAAATTAGTGAATTGTTTGATTTCACTCTGTAATGATAAAAAGTGTTTTGTTAAAGAAAATGATACACAATATCTGATACTGTTCATGTGGTAGAAATATTTTTAATGAATACCGTCTTTTTACATTATTCATATCGGTTTCTTTGATTTGGTTTTTTCATTAGTTTACAAAACTTTTATAGGCCTGACGGGACAAGCGTATGTCGTTGTTGTTGTCATCCATATGAGCCACATGCGACAACTATGAAATGTGAATTGAAGCCATACTTGAACATGAAGAAGCAAGAATATCTTTACGAGAGAGTGCAATCTATTGCAGATTGATTTCTGATTTCCGAAATTTCAATTTCAACCTTCACTTTGCTACTATTTTATATTTTAATGCATTTTGTTAATCATTAATTTCTGTAAAGTTTTTAATCACACTGATATTCTTTGTTTGTTTGCGATATTGCTGGGATAATGTAATTCATGCAAGCGTAATTACATCATTTCCTGGAAATTATTATAGAGAAGTATTTGAAATTTTTACAGGAATTAACACTATTCAGTTATGGATTTAAGAAATTATTTCAACCCATTCTTTTAAAACAAAAATTGTTTGAGAATTGAAATTGAAATTCAATATTTTTGCAAGGTGAATTGTCAACTTCTGAATTTTACGGACATTGTTGAGAGTATAGAATAAATACGAAAGTTTCGAAATACTTTAATTTTTAAAATTTTTTTGGGAGATTTTGCTATTTCATATAATTTTAAACTTTTTGAAATTGAAAATTATCTTATTTCTGGTTTCAGTATTATGGTTCGTTAAATTTCTTTAAAATGGTAGTTTTGTTTATCACAGTAATCGTAATTCTACGAATGCGAAATAAAGTTTTGGCTAACGATTTATGCTAATTCAAAAGCTACATTTCAATCTGAAACTCTTTCTCAATTCAACTCTTGACGTGAATAAATTGAGTTTAATAGGCTTTTTTGGTTAGTAATTTCGGTTTGAAATGCCACTTCAAATCTTAATCTTTCGGTAAATAAATGTCTACATGAAATGATAGTTATTTTATATGAATTTGGGCATTTGGAAGTGTTCCTAAGCTGCTCTACATTTGCACTAATATCTTCTGCCTCGTTGTGCAAGAAAATTGCTCGTAATCATTCATTACGATGTAATTGTTGAAGAAATGTAGCTTTAAAAAAAAATTGTTTTGAAAAGCTTATTCAATTTCATTCCACTTAAATGTGTATCATTAAATTTTGAGAAGAAAGGAATTGATGTAAAGGTGCTAGAACGAGGTGCAAATATTTTTGTAGACATTAGATATTAGAGGTTCACAACATAGTATGTCTTCTTTCGGGTTATTCCAGAATATTTTAAATTATTGAAATACTGTATTCAATTTAATGTTACAAATCGGATACAAACGATGATGAGTCATTGCTGAGAAGCTTTCGTTATGATAATTAAATCAACCTTCACATGATATTTGTGTTTTACTCATTTAAGAATCGATGATTTCATTTGGAATGGTCAGGTCATTTAATTTGATAAACAAATTAAACATTTATTTATACAATTCTGTATTTCCTATTCCTATTTTCCGGAATTCTTTTCCGATTTGCTTTTTATATTTATAATTATTCCTTTTGTCATATTATTTTGTTGATTTTTATATTATATTTTTGATAGGAAAAAGTGTTTTTTCTGTGGTAATTCCTTCAAGTTGAATTTAAAACACAATGATAAGCAAATGATTGAATTAGTTTTGAAAGTTTTAATTACAGCTCTTATTTTTAATTAATTAAATGAGTAATGCTTTATCAGTGTGATCAGCTCAAATCATTCGTACTAAAATTATGAGTAATGAGTTAAAATTTAGTGAAACTTTGATGAAGGGCCTATATGATTTAACTAACATTCGATTTTGTTCATCCAATATTGATATTTGCTATTTTTTCCCTTTGGGATTAATTGCTGATGTAATTCATTCTTTTGCTATTCCAAAATATTTCATGATAAATGCTCGGAATGGTTAGTTGGATAGAACGAGATAGCCTACTAAGATAGGTTTGATACGAAGGGAGAAAATTCAACCGATCTTAATTAGCATTATAAAAGTGAGGAGGAGTAGATGGGTAGGTGAATGGGAAGGAGTGTCCCAACAACCAATTTACATCTCTCCTCCCCCTTCTATGGGCTTTTAAAATTCAACGAACAATTGGAAGGGAGAACCTATGCAAGCAGTTATCGCCCATTCATCTCTGTCAAATTTTGCTTTAGGAAAGAAAGAGGAAGAAGACAACAATTGTCTATTCATCCATTTGGGGCCATTGTGAGAGAGGTTGAAAGAGACACACTCTGTTTTGTTTCATTCTCTCACATTAGTCTAAGTTCAATTTAAAAATTTTTGAATTCTTCATAATTTCAAATGAATGTATTATCTTCTGATCTTTTAAGAATCTTCCATTTCAGTTATGTTTAAATGTTAATTATAAATTTTGTTTAAGCTTTGACAGAGTGACTGATCGCTGCTATTTGAGCGATAATGTCGGATAGTAATAGCACTGCCAATTCTACTAATGGTACAACAACCAACGGTCAAGCAACGACTGACCATGGCGTATGTTTTCCTTTGTGCTTTGTTTGTTTATCCTAAATTTCATCAATACTTATGCTAACTGAACTTTATTAGTTAATTACAGCTCAATACATGATAGAAACTTTTGTTTGCTGAAAGAACACATTGTAACCTTTGTTAATACTTTTTTCCAACAATGAAAATGACCATTTATTTGTAGTTTAGTTTAGCGATGATTCATCTTCGTTTCGTTTTGTCCACTCATTTAATGCAGAACATCTGCTGCAGATGAAGCCTTGCATCTCTGACACAAACTGTATATTATTTATCTTTCGAAAATATTTAACTATTATGAAATTGTTTCATTTATTCCATTTCATTTCTTTGAATTATGAATTGTGATATAGGCTATCCAGCTGATATGGTCACTAAACACTTGTATTGTGTTTAATTCTGCAACTCTTTTTTTTCATGATAACGACCACCCGCTCTGAACTTTAATGAGTTGTTTATGAATTTCATAAATACATAAATTTATGAATAGAGGGAACAGATTTGAGGAGAGAGTGAATAAGAGAGAGATAGAGAGAAATAAAAAGTAAGAATGTAATAATTTACCTTACAGTGGTTGATAATTAACCTTAATATAATATGGCATTTTCCTTACCTTCATGCCTTTGTTAAATAATCTTCCAGTTTTTTAATCTTTGTGATTATTCACATTTCTTTATTCTGTCAATTTCTTTTGTGATAGTCTCTCATTTTAATTGAATAAGTAAGCTTTAGTCTTATCAATTACGCTTTTAATGCCCCATGCCAATCTGAATCAACACTTTGAAGGGACATTGAATTTTTATCGTCTCATTTATCAAACATTTTCGTCAGAATTTGTTGACTTAGCTTAGCCTGAACATTTACGATTGCCGTGTTTGCACAATTGCCATCACAGTGATTGCTATTGAAAAGGCCTAGCTAACTCTATAGGCTATTAAGAAAAACACAACAGCAGAAACATAATCCATTTGAAACCGGAACAATATCATGTCAACAAATGTCGCTCAGTAATTGTATGTATGTGTGTGTATATGTGTGTGTGTGTGTGTGTATGTGTATATGTATGTTTGCAAAGGGATAATAAAAATATTTGGAAATTTAAATAATTGATATTGAAGTTACACTTAACTCAAATTTTGAATTTCAATAATTAAATCATCTGATAATTTTTAAATCTACTTTTTCAGCCAAAAATATTCGTCGTCGAATCATTGTGATTACCTATACCTGCAATATATTTACCGACTTACCTGAATCTTTTTCTTTTTCGTTTTCTTTCTCTTTCAATTAACTTTTTTTCTTAATAATTGGTTAGCTCTATGCAACCTTATGAAGCATCATTTCATCAGAAAACTATCATTACATCAATGAACCGGAAGCGCTTAACTCATACTTCAATGAAGAAAAAAATTGTAGCAATGAGTGAAAAAGAAAATATGAAATATGGAACCGGAAGGGATATGGGTCATTTTAATAGATTTCTGAATTGATCTTGGATAGTGTATTAATCAGAAACTTATAATGGAATATATTATCATATGGACAGCTCGAATGATTTATGACTCATTTTTGCATAGTAAATAATAAGAAGAGGAAATAATCATAAATATTTGCCATTAGTTGTTCAAATGCTTTTACTACGGAAAATAATTACTGAAAGAAAAAAGTACTTCTAATATTTGCAGAAAATGTTGTAAATGGTAATATGAATAGTTTAGACATTGGACGAAATATTTTGTATGAATGAATGAATAAAATGCTCATTCTTTATCTCATCTCTAGAAATCATAATATTATTTTCTTCCGGTTTGATTTGCATAAATATTTTTGAAATGTAAGATTGTAAGAGAATTGAATTACTAAATGATATCCAGTTAAAATGATGATACTAGAAATTATTACATAGCAATAGTTAAATATTTGATTGAATATTTTTTGTGATCATTAAATTGGTTTGCACTAATCTTTATAAAATTAATAATATGTATATTGGAATTACATCCGTTTAGTTTCTATTTCAGCAGTTAAAATTATAAAAGCTAATCAAATCTCTTCTTACTTTTGATAATGAGATCGATGTTACAAAAGATAAATTGATTTGTTAAAGCTTTGCATTCAATAGGTATAAGATACTTCTTGTTATCTCCAACATATTTATTGGTAGGAATGATGGTACACTATCACCTACCTCTATGTATTTTCACATTTTACATCTTTTCTGCATTCGAAATACCAACGAATAAAAAAAATTCCCATTGAATCATTTATTTTTAGCTTTCAAACTGATTGAAATAAAGTTGGAAAAGACAGAAAATTTAAATTAAAAATTGGGAATCGTTTATAAATTTTTTAATTGACAGCTTTTCTTTTTTATTTCTTTCTCTTTTTGTTGCTAAAATTCCAACAATTACATTTAATATTAAATATTTTCAATTAAAGGACATATATGTTTGTATTAGGTCAAAGATTAATTGGCTTCTGTCAACAATTATTTATACGATGATAAAGTGAAATTTGTATATTTTTTTCTTTCTTTCATTTTAACCTAATAGTATGAAAATTCTTAGCTATCTTCCTTTTTTACTTTTAAGATAGCAAGAAAAGTTTTTGATAAAAATTCTTATATCAAAAATATTGAAATTTGATTATTTTATAGAGTAGTAAGTTAAATTTGGAAGTATTTTAGATAATAAT